CTGTGAAAATTCCGTCGCTCCTGCACAGGAGCGGTGCGAGCAATGTCCAGCGGCTGGGCTGCGTTAGGCGTTCCCTGTCACAGGTATTCATCGGAAACATGCTCTCGCCTGTATTTACACGTTTGATGAGCGCTGGGTGGCGGGAGCACCGAAGCGCTTTCTGTGCTCACCGATCCCGCAATGGCGCCGGGGCCGGGGGGCTCTGAAAGGCAGGGGAGCGCATCCGGATGGACGTGTCCCCAAGGGCGGGGGTGTGTCCCGAGGGGCGGGCGCGTGTCCCCAGGGGCGGGGGCGTGTCTCATGGGCGTGCCCCGGGGGCGGGGTTGTGTCCCGGAGGGCGGGGGTGTGTCTCATGAGCGTGTCCCGAGGGGAAGGGGCATGTCTCATGGGCGTGTCCCGAGGGGCGGGGGTGTGTCTCATGGGTGTGTCCCCAGGGGCGGGGGTGTTTCCCGAGGGGCGGGGGCGTGTCCCGGTACATGGGCGTGTCCCGGGGCGGGGGCGTGTCCCGGCGGTGGTGCCGGTGCAGCGGCCCCGCCCCGCCGTGACCTCAGCGCGCGCGCCTCACGTGATGCAGGTGCAGGGTCCGCCCCGCCGCTCCCGACGCTCGCGGCGCTCCCTCTCTCCTTCCCTCCCTCCGTCCCTCCCTCCCTCCCTCCCTCCCGCCCTTCCCGCCGCGGATGCGCCGGAGCCCCCGCAGGTCTGTCCGCGCCGGGGAGGGGCGGGGGGCGGTGGAGCCAGGCCGGGCCCGCCCGCGGTGCAGGCCCCCGGCGCGGCGGGGCCTTTCGCCTGTGCTGAGGGGGGGTCGCGCCGCAGGCAGGGCCGGGCCGGGCCCCGGAGCGCGGGATGAGCGGGGACGGCCCGTCCTGGCCCGGGCTCCGGTGATGCCTCAGCCCCGTCGCATCCCAGAGCGCCCTGACAGCCTGGCAGGCTCCGGTCCCCGGTGGCCAGGGTGACCAGGACACCGCGTCCTAGCATTGAGGGGAGGCGCCGGAGAACAGACCCGACCTTCCCGGATAGATCCCTTTGCTCTTAGGCGTTGATAGCTTCGAGTCTGTGGTGGTGTTATCCCTCTGGTACACGCTGAAGGCGTTTTTTTCGAGGGTAGGGTAATAAATCCGTTAAATTTTATTGCACTCGAGGTGCCTCCATTGCCCAAGACTCACGGTGTGTGCCTTGAGGCAAATGCGCCGCTTGAAAACCTCCTGCAGGTCAACTTTCTAGATGAAGGATTAGGAATCCCTGTACAGCATGGCACATCTGTGCTGGGGGAAAAGAAACATTTAGCATGTGGTGGTATATGTCCCTGAAGGAGCCTTATTTACTGACGATATTCCATGCATCTCTAATTTAAATTATCTATGACAATCTTTTGGAGAAACATTGTCTTCATCCATTTTTTTCATTGTCAGCCTTGTTTTATTAGAATTATTCAATCTTAAAAAGACCTTTAAGATTAAGCTGTATGTGGAATACAGGAGGTGGATGAAGGACTATTTTTGTGAAATATGGACCAGGCTTTTTAACAAGCCCTTCTGTAGACCGTAAAGAACATTTGTTAACACTGGCAGCAAGGCTTCACAKGTATTAAGAAACTCAATAAGGGCACTGGCAATACCAGGAGGATATTGATTCATATGTGCAGTTTATTTATACTAAAAGTGATTTTGAGAAAAGATGGATAAAAACTTTGTTATCTGTCTGTTTTCCACATGCTTCTATGACCCTCTAAAAACCTGGGTAGAATAATTCACTGGACTGGCCATGACATGTGGTCACTTTTAGAGGTGGAAGTGCCAAGGTGAAAGCTAGGTCGTTGCTTGAGACAGAGCAGCTGCAGAAGTTTTCAGCTGCTTAGGGTTTTTATTTACTTCCACCATTTTGAGKGTGCTTTGGTGTATTAAATATCAGGTTGTTCTTTTGGTTCATTGCTTCTTTCTTATTTTTGACCTCTGGTAGGGATTTAATTAACACCATCCTTTAGGCTGATCTTAGCTCAGCTTGATCCCGTTCCAATCACTGTTTTAATTTCAGGGTTGGTTTAGGAAACATAGTGAAGTGGAACAGTTCTAACTCTTTCTGACTCCTGCCTGCTGTCCTGGGTGCCGATTTCTGACTGACAGTCTCAAGGCTGAGTGGGCTGGGATGGTCTATGATCAYGCTGGTGGTCTCTAGTTTGTTTAGCTGCTGACAGCTGACATCTCTGCTGAAGAGCAGTGTGTGCAGAAGGAAGAACTAGGAAGGAGTCAGGTTTTTTGAGTCATATTAATCTGTAACTRGAATCTGACTGGAGTGACATAGCTCCCATATGCTTTTATCGATTGCATATTCAGTAGTTACTGTTTGAAGTATGGCTCTGACCCCATTTTGAAATTTAAATGAAACTGGATGGATGTGACTGGTACYACTTACAAGCTCTTTGTTTCTGTTATATATTATGTTATTTGCATCTATTTTCCAATCTCCATGACAAATTTKTGTTATTCTGCTCTGGGTTCTTACTAACTTTTAGAAGAAAAAGGTACACATTCTTTAGGCAGACATATTATGAAGAAAAAAAATGTAAAATTACTTGTATTTGAGGAGTTTGCCACTGCAGTATGAGAAACCAAGAAAAATGTTCTTCTCGTTCCCTTCTCTCCCAAGTCTTTACAAAGTATTTTAAATGAGAGTAGGTTATCCCTTAGTAATGAGTGTCCATTCCTGAGGGAGGGATGTGTGCAAAGGTTTTGTGATAGAGGGTGAGATTTGCRTGCTGCAAGGAAGGTGGAATAATAATTTCTATCAGAATGGGCACAGACATGAAGCTGTAAGTACCATTGTGACCTCTCTGTTTTTACTGTCACAAGGTATTGAAGTCTCACCAAGTTTTGCAAAATGACATAATGCATACTCAGTGATCCTTAAAGAGAATTACGTATGCAGGCACTGTATGAGCTCTGTCAGTCCTCGTGCAGTCACTGAGCTTCTGCAGGACTTAATCTGCTTCCGAAATGGTGCTGCTGGTGTTGTGCTCCTCCAGTTGCCTGGGAGCCCTGGTCAGAGACRGGTGTTGACATTAGGGGCTGTAATAAGCTTTGAATCTGTGAAGTGGGAAATGACAAGGGGATTTAAGTAGGTAGGAAATAACACTGATAAGTAGGGATTCAGTGTACCAATAGCCCAACTCGTGCCAATTTGTTGCAAATGCCAGGTGGAGAGAGAAGAGTGTGTAGTTTTGAGGAGTTTATAGGTTTAAATAMGGACTGTGKATTYGTTTCAGTGATGCTTCCTTGGAAGAATACTTTCTCTGTGTCTGGGCACATGGAGAATGTGAACAAGTGYTTGTTTAGAACATCCAGGAAGTGGATGAWGGCACCTTCTCTTAGGAACTACGGGTCAGGTCTGTTGGTGGATGAGAGTGAAAAGGCTGCAGAGGTCTTGAAAGAGGAGACACGGGAATGTGCTATGATCAGGGAGAGTTCACTGTTGGGATGATTCAGTTAAAGGCAGATGACTAAGAAGAGGATCGAATCATCAGCTTTTAAAATAGATGTTGAGCTAAAAATGTGATGCCAGAGAAGAACAAGCAGTAATACTGTTTTATTTAGTAGGAGCGCTTTTTTTTTTTCCTTAAAGATCAATATTAACTTCTAAATTGGATGATGAAAAATATAGCTATTCCTATCCCTTAGAAAATTAGGTATTTTATAACCATGTATTTTGTTTTTTGAAAGGAGGCTGTGAGCGGAAAAACAGTGAGAAAATAATTTAAAAGTTAATTTATTTACTGAAAACTATAGGGTTTTTTTATGGTGTATATTCCTTTCTGAATTAGAGATAAAGAAATCTTAACATGTAATTGGTAAGATTAAAATTTGTTCTATAACTCAAAATGATGGTGTTGTTTTTAAAAAACTTTAAAGTTCCTTTGGCAGCTCAGTACTTCTGTTTTTAGCAATTGTTCAGTCCACCAAGCAACAAAAAATCTTGAGTTTTACCTTGGACCAAATAAATTATTGCTCTAGATTGACAGCTAAAGAAATGAGAGACACTGTGTGGTTCAATCTGATTTTCATTTCTTCTAAGTCTTCCTTCATGTTTTTGTAGCATTCTAAATACTTYTAAAGTGAAAATGAAACTGATAATTTCTTTTCACTTTATTCATCTTTCTTTGCAGTTTTAGCAACCTCAGCATTAAGATTATATTATTTCAGGAGTAATTATAAGATGCCTTTGTTCTTTTTTATTTTGAAGGTGAGCTCTGGTTCCTTTTGCTAGCACTGGAGCTGATGGTGTTCAGCATTCAGAAAATTCAACCCTTTATTGTTCTTCCCATTGTGGAAAATTGAATTGGAAAATTTYCCCAATTCAAAATCACAGGGATTCTGCTGTCCTTGTTACAAAGCTCAGAAGAGATCATTGGAAGCACAAGATAAATGTTGMTAGTTAGGAAAACAAACTAAAGCGAGCCTTTTCTCACTGTTTCACTGTTCAATTAAATGCTAATGTCAATATGAACACTTAACTAACGTTTCTAATTGTTTAGTCAGCTCCATTACTCGTGGCAGAAATTTGAGGTAGCAGCTTTTTGTTATCCACAGCACCTGTGGCTGGCATTGTTTGCTGACCCCAGCCCAGACTGAGTAAAAGGCCACAGATTTCTAAGCAGAGAGACTGCACTTGTGGTTGCCAAGAGCTCCAGAGGGGTCAAAGATTAGCAGAGCCATTTGTTCCRGGGAGCTGGGCTGGGGGGCAGGCGGTACAAATGGTGATTGTTTCAGGGAGCAAGCAGGGTGCTGTTATCAGTTACAGAAGCTGTGAGAGGAGCTGGCTGATGTGGGGGTGGCCATCAGCAGCCATTTCACTGCTGTGTCTGTAACTCTGAAGGGAGCTTCATGCCTAGGCCTGAGCTTTGTACCAGAGCACTGTAGCCAGAAACCTCAGTTTTCRCTGTGAGGCTGAAATGTGTCTGCAATTCATTGGCTTTTTTCCTGATTAAGTTTGGTTTTATTTTATTAATAGACTTGGATTGTCTGTCTAATAAACAAACATGAGTCATCTGAAGTTGTTTGCGGCTTCGCTGAGGAGGCATGGATTTAAACTTCTGGAAAAACAGGATATAACGAGAAGGGCATTTTTACATGGCCAACGGTATGTTTCATCAGGAGCCTCGGAGCCATTCTTGAGTGGGAGTAATTCCAATTATGTGGAGGAAATGTACTATGCATGGCTTGAAAACCCTAAAAGCGTACATAAGGTAAGTGTAAAACTTTTCTGTAGATGATAATACTGGGTTAAGGGTGGAATAGGTTCCTGTAACTTTTTAACCTTTTTTAATAAAAAGTTCAGGAAAAGGTCTTGTGTGAAATGAAAAAAGTGAAATTTATTTCCCACAAATTGATTGCTCCAAGATGTGATATTGCAACTATAAAAGTACAGAAGAGCCACAGGTGTGGTGAGCAGAGCTGAAAGAATGAGAAGTCCAGACCAGAAATAGAAAGCTSCTTTGAAACTTTATTCCTACATGGAAATGCAGTTAGTTAAGTAATTAGTTACATCCAGAAGACCCAAGAATAAAATATATTTAATTTTTTGGTTTATGATAATGCTGTATTGGAGAATGTTATATTTAAACAATATGTGTTGATGTTGGCACTTCTAAACTGTCTGAAGAAGGCGAATGTTCAGTTCCCTTTAGATTAAACAGAGGAAGCTGTAACCTCAAAACTGAATTTGATTGTCAGAAAATTCTTCTAAGTCTCTTGAAAAGTGTTTTGTTTTGTGTCTCTCCTTCTCTCTTCAGGCAATATGCATTTGTTTGCTTTTTTAAAAATCTATTATCCAAATCCTTCCTTGTGGACAAAATACATAGAGTTATTTTTTAACAAGCTTTCTGCTGACAGGAAGGGCTCTGTTATGGTGATACATGTGTAGTAACTTAAGAAGTTGGTGAGAAGTCTGATCAATTCTAAGACAAGTCATTTTCTAGGAAGTAATGTGAATTGTGSCCAAAATGTTTACCAAATTGGTTGTCTGCTCCCTTATTCTCAAGGCACATGTATCAAAATGTCACTTAGAGGTTGTTGTTCTAAGACTGATAATCTGTCTAGAGCATGAGGAAGTGACGCATGCTGAGGGCAGAAACAAAGAAGGAAACCAGAAGGGTAGTTTTGTAGCTGGTTGTTTTGTTGTTTTTTTTTTGATGGTGTGTATGAATTTAGTCTTGTTGAAAGCTGACATACTTCAGTACGTACTCTGCTGAGTGTTATTCACATAGTAGATAAGTACTAGGTCTTTTACGTTGCACTTTAGCTTGAAATGGAGAGAGCTTCTCCAGGACTAGCTYTTTCTTATCTGACTTTGAATGCTCATCCTGGAGCTGCCAGCTGAGCACCAGTGTGGAGTGGGGTAGCACATTGTGTGGGTGCACTGATTTAATTTCTGCAAAGCACTCATGATGTGTCAGGGCTATAGATCGATATCAACCCTKTTGTACTGGGGACACTGAAGGAGTCATGCATAAGGAGTGCGTGTGGTGGCATCAAGGTGACGTCTTTTTTTTTTTTTTTACTTACATTACATTGGCTTCTGGCGAACTTATTTCTTGTCAGATAAATAATGTTCCTTTGTTCAGCCCTTTTGCAGTGGAGCACATTTTGCTCCTGTGAAGCCCTCAGGCATCTTTGGGGCTGGGAAGTTCCCTGCGGTGCGGGCAAGCGGAGTGCAGAGCCCGCCGGAGCCGGGAGCGGGGCGGCAGCGCTGGAGCGCGGGGCCGCCGCCCTTGGAGCTGGCCAGGGTGCTGAACCACGGCCGCTGGGAATGCACASCTGCCTGACGGATTGGTGCTCGGGGCAGGCGGAAATGCTGAAAATCCTCACGAAAGGCCATCCAATTCATCTGTCAGCTCAGGCGCAGTCTGATCATGGATCCTGRTGGGGTGGTGCAGGTTGTGGGTTGAGCAGCAAACAATGAGTGAGTTGACGGAGGAATGTAGGAGTGGCATAGGGAGTGGATCCCAAGTGGTTCCAGATGCATTTTTGTTGTGGTTTRACTCCAGCTTAAGACCACACTGCCACTTGCTCAGTCTCACACACACCCGTGAATGGGGGAAAGAATCAGAAGGGTAGAAGTGAGAGAACTTGTGGATGGAGATCAAGATAGTTTCATAGGGAAAGCAAAAACTGCAAGTACAAGCAAAGCAAAACAAAACAAGGAAATCATTCTCCAATTCCCATGGGCAGGCAGGTGTTCAGCCATCCCCTGGAAAGCAGGGYTCCACCACACATAACAGTGACTTTGGAAGACAAATTCTATCACTCTGAATATCCCCCCATCCTTCTTTTCCCATGCTGAGCGTGATGTGKTCTGGAATATCCCTTTGGTCAGTTGGGGGTCACTTGTTCTGGCTGTGTCCCCTCCCAACCCCCTGTGCACCTCCTCACTGGTGGGGTGAGGAGCAGAAAGGCCTTGATGTTGTGTAAGCGCTGCTCAGCAATAACAAAAGCATTAACAAAAATATCTCTATCTTGCCAACCTCATTTTCAAATCCAAATCAGTTACTGTGCAGTAAATTAACTATCCCAGCCAAAACCAGCATGATTATAAAAATGTGTGAATTCTTTTSTAGGTTAACTGTGTTTAATATACTTGCAACAGCAATGAACTGAAGTAAATTCACTGATTTTTGAGGCTTAAAAGAATATGATGGATGGAAATAAGGGATTGCAGATATTCTTGACTAAATTATTAGATTTTCACAGCCTATAAAAATACAGGGGGGAGAAGAATGCCAGTTAATTTTACTTTGTTTCAGCAACGAACCTAATTTTTGGTTTCTTGAAAACCATCTCATTTCWTGAGATGAAAGGTGCAAATACCTTCCCAAGATTATTGCTAACAGAAATTGTTCAATTTGAGCTTTAACAAAACAAGTTAAAATTTTAAAGGKTGAAATCACCCTGTTTTCTTAAAAACAAAGACAAATCCATGATGTGATTTTGACCGTAAACAAGTTGTGGATTTGTCATTCTGGTATAGAAAGGAATGGATGTGTTGGAAAATAGTGTCAAGAGACACCATGTGGTGTTGGTTATGGTATTGTTAATAAGCTGGCTCTCTGCTGGCCACTCATATTTCATTACTTTATCCAATATGTCCGGCATGGTTTAGAGAACCAGCTTRTACATTTAGACATTACATTCTCTTTTCTYATTTTCCTTTTATATTCTTTTTCACCTCATGTGTCTTCTTAGATAGCCCCTTTTCAGATGGGCTGTGCCTCCTCATTGATTAGATGGAAAAGCTTGATTTTTTTCTGGGCTTTAAAAATCATACTCAATTCATATACTTGCACTTAGAAACTCCAATTAATCAGGGCTCCTGAACTGATGTCCCTCTCAGAAGATCTGACTGGACATATCTTCCCCTGTATGGTTATTTAAAACTATTTGAAATAGGGCTGTCACATATCAATGAGTATATTCAGTGTCGGTAAGAATTTCTTCTTTCTATGTATAGCATGGTTGTGTCAAGGAATATGCATGTATATATTTAAGAGCTTTTATTCTTTGTACAAATCCATCTCTGATGCTTGCTTTTCCATGTCTTTTGAATTCCCTATCGTCAGAGTAGCCAAAAACAACAATCAGARTAAAATGACGTGGTCTCTGAAAAAGGCATCATTATTTCTCCTTGAAGCTTGGTGTCAGGGCCATAGATCATAAGGGAGAAGCTTGACAAGGCTCAGTTATTACTATCACAAGATTAATTACCAAACTGCATGGTTGCCTATGGAGTACATAATGCCTGCCATGTTATCCTGTAGGCAGCCGCTCTGCCATGAGAGTGTAATCACCTCCTTGGTTTATGGACTACAAAAAAAGTGTAGGGGGGGTTTGTTTGCCTTTGACTTCATTTTATTCATTTTCTTTCTAAAATGATGTAGTGATGCTTAGTGTGTGTCTTCTAAGGCTTTACTGTCCTCACTGCAGTTGATGAATATTGTGATGGCACTAGGCAAAAAAACAAAACCGTCAAGATAAAGGATGTATTACTTGTTACTCTAATTGCAACACTGTTTATTATAGAAGAGTAAAATGTTGCTACTGAATCACGTGTATTGTGTCATATTAGTTGAGAAAATAATGGTTAACTACAATATAGATTTGCTGGCAGAAGGAAAGAAACGTGTATCATCTCTCACTATAGTAATTTTTTTTGGTGGGTGTATTTTTCTATTATAAATCTCTACCATTTTCTTGAAGAACTTTACTAATTTAGTTGAGAAGCTGCAGGTTTGCTGTTGAGCCCAAGCTGGTTCTTCTCTCTGTTCACTCACATGGCAAATGCTGTTGCCAAAGACTGACATTGATACACAGAACYTGAAGACTATCATCTGGTATCAATCTTGAAAGACACTATAGAAATTTGTAAAGGCTTTGATGGATGTGTATCTAGTAAAAACTAATTTTCTGTAGCCAAATGATGTATTTTCCCTCCCYTCTGATTAAATGTCAAGCCTGTCCAACAAATCAATAAGTTCAAAAATGTGATAGGAAAAAATAGTGTGGGTCCATTCTGTCTCAGCTGGCTGCATCGTCAGATGTAAACATTTTCTTTATATTTGTGAGCTTGCATGARGAAAGAGTCCTTTGTTGATTCCCCTTAAACAAATCACTTGTTGGGTGAGTCTATTTGGAGTTTGTTAACAAATCTCTCAACAGACCATTTGTCTAAAAACACATTCAATTGTTTGTGGGATTGTACTATTTTAACTTTTACATCTAAATGACAAGGTTTTACTCAACAAAGGAATGGTTGCATTAGTAGCATCATTATATGTGTGTCATGGTGTTGGAAAAAGTAAGGGAGAAAACATAAGCAAAGCAAATTCTTTATTAAAACTTCTAATCAATACCAAATGTGATGTMATGGATCCAAATGTGTGTTTGGAATTTCCTAATTTAATGTTTAATGAAAATTAATAACTGTGTRTTGCCCAAATAATTTCTCCAGTCTAAATCACTTTAGTGGTTAAAAAAAGGGATTATGATTTTTTTTTCTCTGTCTGGGGTCTGCAGACACTCAGACTGGGTGCTGGAATAACAGTATGTTCTTAATACAGAGCAAGAAGGTGTATAGAGAGAATCCCAGCCGAAATACAGTCACACTAATAGATTCTTGTAGACCACTTAAAAGATGTAAATTCAGGCTTCTCATCTCAATGTGACTGGCAAGGTATCAAGGTAAGAAGAAGATAGGAAATGGGCATAAATAAGAGAAGGGAGTGAATGAATTCTTCATCAGTGTGTCTGGAACTGGCCARCACACATGATCTGTCTGCCTTAATTTGTCAGGCTATGTTTAGATAAGCCTGYGTAAGAGCAGGGTGATGAGTTTACTGTATTTATATCAGGGAGCTTTAAATGAATAAAGTAAGAGGGGTGCATTAAAGCAATGTTTCATGGGCAGTGGCCTCATGTTGTTGATGAACACTCACAGGTTCAGTGAATCCCCCCACTTCACAATTGAACTTGGAAGGTTGGGTGATGTTTAGCTTCTTTATGCTGCCCCTCTCATGGTGTTTCTAGACACCTTAAAGCTTCTTGAAATTTCAGTACGAAGACATTTTATTAATGAAAGCAGGATTTTGTAGGTATTTTTCTATGCCATGTTTGTATTACATWATGTAGATTCTTTTGTGTGTTCTGTAATGCATATATTAAGTAATCGTTTAAAAATAAATGCATTGGACTACTTTTTGTCTTTTTTAGCACTTGTTTCTTTGAAATATATTGAATCAAAGCTCATAGCCTTGCAAAAATTTATCTCTAGCAGTTMTTCCATTCCAGTCAGAAAGATAGTTAAGTTTTTAAATAGCTTCCTTTTTGTTTTCTGAAGCTGACCAAYTGAGGAAGTGTTTTATGCAGATTTCCTTCTCTGGGTTTAAACATCTCAGAGGTTTCATCCCATTCTGCTGCTCTCTGTTAGCATTCATATATCTGATACCATTCTAACCTGGCACAGTGGCAATCTCAGAATGGAAACAGTTCAGGAAAACATGATTTGGGCATATGTGAGCGAAGTAGCTTGCGTAAAAGCACAGAAGGAAGTTAAAGGATCTTTTGTGTGTTGTGACTCAGTTTCTGTGGTAAGTACTTTTCTATAGCTATGACTTGCACCAGGCCCGTGATTTCTTTTATAGTAAGGTAACCTAAGCTGGTGAGGAAAAGATCTTAGAACAAAAGTCTCACTCAAAAAAAACTGTAATTGCTTTTGAAGTTTCTTCAAGATAAGCTCTTAAGGACTGATTCTGATTTAATGTAATCAGTGAGTGTATCAAGGTACCATAAATTCTGTAAGTATCATTAACAGAATGGATTAATTTAGTATATTAAGGTTCTTTGTTTATAAGCTTGGTAGCTCTTTACCAGCAGCATAATATTATGCCCATTTTTGGCTGCCTGAATAAACAGCGCAATTAAAAAGAGGTGTGTGAATGGATAATGTATGAAGATGCTTTACAGTCCTGTGTGCTGGAGAGTTTTCTGCTGAGCAAGCTCAGTGTAAGAAATGAGAGGGAAAGGGTTCTGTGTGAATAAAACACGCAGTTGCTACTGAAATTGGGACATATCAGTGGTCTTTTTTTTCACTGTCTGCTAGTGGTGTATAACACTGTAATGCAGTGAGGTTCTGTTCCGTTTGCATCCTAAAAGAGCTGCTTTGGTTTAGGCTTTTGTTTGAGGTAATAAATATTTCTGTTTCTTCTCTGTACACGTGCCCAGTCCTGGGATGCATTTTTCCGAAATGCTAATGTTGGCCAAGCACATGATCTACCAGCTCAGCTGGAAGGAAAAGCATCATATCTTCAGAGCCATGGCCTGGCCCCAAGAGCAGGGAAAGCTGAAAAGGTTGTTGAAGATCACCTTGCTGTGCAGTCGTTGATAAGAGCATACCAAGTAAGTGTATTTTGGGGTAGGCATGAGAAGGCCTCTCCTTTGCAAACAACCTTCTTCCTTTTCATGTTCTCATTTGTCTTCTGATCCAAAATGCCTTGAACTAGACAACTTTTTCTTTGCAGCACAGTGTCTAAACATGGAAGTGTTGGATTCTGACTGGGGTGGTCCCCTGGTTTAGCAAACTCATAAGGCAGACTACCCACAGAGCTGATGCTGGTCATCTAACTTAGCCTGGAAGCACTTTCTGCAGATAGTGGTTTGTGGAAAGTCTGCCTTCACCTCTGGGAATGTTTGTCTTACAGTTTTAAATGTTACTGTGCTTCCTTTAAGAAAGGATAAAATGTACTTACCTTCTCATACATCGAAGGTGAATTTTGAGATTCCTGATTTGAGCAGGATTATAGGTAAAAAGAGAGAAGAGAAATGATGAATTAACCAGAAACTGAATTTTAGGAGGCTGACAGTACTGAGTTTGGGTTAGTTTTGATGGATTTCTTTTAGGAAGTTGTTAATCAAAATTATCTTTGTTTCATACTCCAATTTTCAACCCTTTTATTAAATGATGAAATTAAGTCTAATTAATTATTTTTCCTGTAAAAAAGGAATTTGAAAATAGGAGAGTGGGTTTGGTTAGATGTTTTCCAAATAGAAAAACAAGTTTAAATATTTTTGTTTAGACTTGTATTTAGTATCTTAATTTCAATATAAGCTTAAAAATTATATAAACAGCCCCTCCCCAAAATAACCAACCTTAAAAACTAGATCTGTGTTTCACAAAAAATTCTGCAAATATTTTTTAAATGAGTATGTAACTTCCCAAGGAGTTTCCTACAGTTTGATTTGAGCAGATCTGTTCCACCGTATCCTAAGTATTTAAAATCCTGTTTGGTGTAGTGAGAGGAATAGAAAAGGAACTTCTTAAGAGACTTTTTTTTTGTACACATTGCGTTGTCACCATTGAGTTGGAGAGGTGTTGAAAAAGAGCAGAAACTTTATATTTTTAAATATAAAGAATGTATGTCATTTGCTTAGAAATAGATATGTGGAAAATAATCACTTTTGCTTGCAATAAAAATCTGGTGAAGTAGTAACGAAAACTGGAGAATGTTAGGCTGCTTTGACACAATATTCTTGAAAGTAGTTCAGGGATTGCCATTTTTCTCTCTATTTGTCAAGTGATGGAACAGAAATGTCTGTATAAATGGCAGGCACCCATGTGTCTGCGACAAACAGTCACAGAGGATTGCCTAAGGCAACTGTCTGCTTTTTAAAAGGTATTTAGTACCCTCTAAATTCAGTGTTGAAGGGGTATGATAATTTGTGACCTTCCTTTGCCTGATAATGAAATGAAATGGAGAAGGGTACAGAATTTTCATTTCTCAAACTGTCAGTGTTTTATGGTTTTTGTGGTAAACTGCTTTGTGGTCTGTTGAGCTGGACTTCTGAAAAGGCTGTTAATCTGCCTAAGGAGAGCACTGGGCACACGGAAASGATTTTCAGTGAGATGTATGTGCTTAATGAAAGTGAGGCCAGATAAACCAAGGTCTGCTTTCTGATAGTCTGAACTTGCATTTAGTCAAAGTTATGGCAATGGATGAAAATCTTCTATGTATGTATTTTCTCAAGGTTGATCTCTGACTTCTGTGGATGTTACTATTTTTTGTATTCAGTGAAAGTAGTGGAAGTTATTAAAAAATAGCTTGATATTAGGGAAAATACTGCCTTTTAGTTAAAGATCAAACTGCTCCTGGAACAATATGGCCCAGCCTTATCTGCCTTTGGTTTTGGCATTCCTGCTGACCCTCTTCCTATTAATCCTGAAGAGCAGATGCAAYTTAGGGGGGTGATTCTTTCCTGTTGATGATGTTTGAGACAGAATTGTTTGCTTTGTTCCAATCAGATAAACTTAGTGCTGCCGTAAACAGTCAGATGGCACAGATGTTGCTGTGGGCATCATTTGGCCTGTCAGAGTTTCATTACTGGTGATTCATGCGATGCAAAGAATTGCAAAAGTCAGGCTGAGTTTACAGGGCTGGTGGTTCCAAAAAAGATGCCATATTTCTGGTTTATTGTGACTGGAAACCATTTTGTTRTAAACTCTCCTGCAAATATAGAATTGAACAGTGTTTTTACAGGTCCCTTCTTGATTAACTGCACTGTAATGATTTTTTATTACTGTGTGTTGCACTTCACTATTTATGAATTCGGGGTATTTTCAGGGACAATTAGGGTACTAGTAATGTAAATGAAAAGCTATCCAAGTGATAYGAATTTGTTATTAAAAAGAAAAATTTAAAGGAGKAATCCTTAATRTATTAATCTATACAAAGCTTTTAATGAGCTAATTTTGGTATATGAGAATCACACATAAGAGGCATATGAAAAATAATTTTATATTTGTGGCTGTATTGGATCAATTAGTTATTTCTTCTCTAGCAATGTTATATGGTAATGTAAGGCACTAGTTTATACCAACTTGTGGAATGCATTAACACCAGTCACACTGATCATTGAAAGCTGKCTGAATTCCTCACTCAATTTGTGTTTTCAGTGTCTTGAATATCAGTTCTACCATAGATCAAATTTTTGAAATTTCATGAATGAAAATAGATGCTGTCAGATGCTATCTGATGTGGAGCAGAGCTCAGGAAGAGTGATCTCTTCACTGCTGATAYAAACTACTTCAACGCCAATCTGCTTTAAGTCAGTCAGTATTTTAAAATACTGCAGGTGCAGAAAGGAGAATTCAGGCAAAAATGCAAAATGACTGAATTGGCAAATGGTAATATTTTTAGGCTTACAACAGTTTCTTAATTTTACCCAGAGACTGAAAGTGTACTCTGTATTAGCTTTTTTCACTTAAATTCCAGTGTAATCCCAGTTAAATTATGTGTCAGACATAATAAAGATTATATTCTAATTTTTACTTTTTGATAGAGGTATATATGCATTCAGTGATGTAAATCTTATTTTTTGTTTCAGTGGGAAAACTTGGGGAATATATTATCACAACAGTAGTCTTTGCTTATTTGACTTAATGGCTGATACACAAACTATGGAGAGATATCACTGACTTTTTCCTTTTGTCTAACTTTTGTTAGTGTGATTTCATTTTGTTCTTACTTTCCTCCTTTTTCAGATCCGTGGCCATCATGTGGCTCAGCTTGATCCCCTTGGAATTCTGGATGCAGACTTGGATTCATTTATTCCATCTGACCTTATTACCACAATGGATAAACTTGGTGTGTAAGCTGTGTGCCTTCTTATTTGCAATGCCCATTTGTGTATCATTGGGCTGGGGTGATTTAATAAGACATTTCACAAAATCATGGAAGGGCTTGTGTTGGAAGAGACCTTARAGATTACTTCCAACTCCCCTCTATGGGCAGGGATGGCACATTTCAGGGAAGCTTCTACCTTTTSTGCGTGCTGGTATCATGACATAGTGCCTTTGAGCATCTGTAACGAGGCTAAAATTTCAGGATGATGGAATTTCTACTCTGAGATCCCAGGTGAGGTTCCTGTGAATTCATCTTCTGATGAATGATGATTATAAATACTCTACAAACACCCTGAATATTTTATTTTTGAACCACACCAGAAATTAATACTAATAAATATATTAGGCCAAGGTTCTAATAAGCTAAAGTRCTTTTAGAGCATTGCATTTCATGCTTGTTTGAACTGGGGGCATCTGAAGGCTAGTCAGTAGGGAAGCCATGCAATAAATAAAGCATTGAGCAGAAGAACTTAGGAGAAGTTTAATACCAAGTTTGGATTCTAGTGTCTGATACTTATTCCTTCTGTGCATCTTGAAGAAGTCTGTTTGAAGTTATATCAGAAGAAAGTATGGAAAACATAGAATTCTTTACCTGTAGATATAATCCAGTGGTGATTATAGCTTCTATTATAAACTTCAGTTTACTGTTGAAAGAGTATGGCGCACTAGGGTCTGCTTTTGCAAAGGTTTTTSTCATTGTTAGGACGGTTTGTGTCTGAGAAATTGCACTGATCAATTTCTTTGCCTCTGTCTACTTGAATAAAAAAACACCTGATTGATTTTTGTCTGCTCTTCAATCTACCTGGTTTGTTTAAAATGTGGTTTTCTACTTGATGAAGACACTGAATCAATTTTTCTTTGATGTGTAGGGAAGCTTTTTCAATCAGGCATAAAACATAGCGCAGGAAGTAAATAAAACACATTCTACCTAATTTAACCTTAAGCATATCTACTGCCTCTTTTGTGCTCAGTTTTCTATTCCTGTTGTAGATATATGTATCTGATCATATAAAAGAGGTGGATGCTTAAGACTAAATAGAGAGGTGMTTACACAAATTGGATCTTCTCTCTGAAATTTGTCAGCTTTAATTARCAAAAAGTACCTACTAGAAAATACATGAGACATTTGCTGAGCAAATATAATTAGTTTGGAGCATGGGTGATTGYTAGCATGTCAGCACACATTTCTTTGAACTCTACAGATAGTTTAGTACAGGGTGTTGTGACTGGAAAGAACACATCTACTGAAGCCCTCATAGGAAAAACCCATGGGGAAAGTATGCCAGATTTCTGAATGAGATGGGGGATGTGTCTGATTCTGTGACTGAGGAGATTTCAGTTTGTCAGAGGAAACAAAGCTTTTAACCTAGTTTTGGCACTGCAAAAATAGAGGAAGATCTCAAATGTCTGTTCTTGAATCTTCCAGGCAGGAAACTTATGAAAGGTCTTTGGGCAGGACAGAAAGTATTTTAATGGTTGATTTTTCTGTGCATTTTCTTTGTCCCATCTTCTTGTTTCTTTTTGAGAAACCTTGTGATAGGAAATTCCTTCTGAAAGTTGCTTCTAAAAATGCAGGTAGCTAGAGAGGTACCTACTGCATGAATCACACTGCAGAATTGCTGTCAGGATTTCATTTAGGTTGTATCTCTTTAAACACGAGGTGATGCTTCAGTTAATATGTGGTGCTGTGATACAAAGCACAGATGTTCTGTGTGTGCCCAAATCACTCCTGAACACATTGTACGTGTTCTGGTTTATGCATGAGAGGACATGAAGAGACTTTGAAGTCTGAGAGTAAGTCACTARAAGAGGAGAAATAAATGCACTGCTTTGTTTCAAATGACACTAAAGTCCTTGTCACCCCCTGTGTCATTCTCCCATCCTGTTGGGAAAATCCTGGTATGATACCAGAAAGAAGTAGTGGTACCTATTTTTTTTTTTTTTTGGTCACTCCAGGTTTGAAATTTTAATACAGTACTAAAATTTTTTATTAAAACCAAAATTAAAATTTTAAAATATATTCTTTCTAAAGCAGAAAAGGTGCTATTTACTGACAGTGCTGTATTGTAAAAGTGGTGGCAATGCAGTCCTATGGCCTGACTTCAAGTCTAAGTGCTGTTATTATTTCATCTTTAAGCTGCTGCTTCACCTTAATCTTCAGAAARGTCACTTAACATTTAAGCACTTTATTGATTTAAGAGTTATGTGCATGTTATCTTATTGTTGTTAAAGTGGATATCTGCAGCTTATCTGGAACCAGGATAGAGTTCAAAATTAAAAATATTTAAAGTATTAAAAATCAAATATTTTAAAATTTTCAAGTGTTCTTACATGAGTAGGAACATATGTAGTTTAACATATATATAAGGTACTGTATATAATTGTATATAACTGTATGTAATGTGTATTATAAGTGTTCTACATTTACTTCTTACTATTCCAAGAAACTTTTTCCTTCCTTCATTTTATAGGTTTAGGTTAAACTTGTCTCATACAAGGCCTTTAACTTGCAGTGATACCACTCTTTCAGTCTTGTCTGTTGTGTATTTTGGCTTTTGAAAATGCATAATGGTTAGATTAAGTATTTTCTTAAATAATATTCTCAACCAGAATAAGTTTAGATATGTCCAAATCAAGATGCRTCAATGTGGTTAAACAAGTTTTAGGTGGTGGGGATGTGAAAATCTGTGTGATTTATAAAGGGTCACTGCTTGGGAATTAGAGCTGTACATGGYTGTTTCAAACTGATTTCCCTAAAAAAGGGAAGAGGGTGGATAGAAATACCTTGAAAGTTCTCCAGAGTGCTTTTATTGAAACAGTTGGGTATTTCCTCTTAGTTTATCTATTAATGTAATATGCTTCCAACCAACTGGTTTTGTCTGTGAGAAGGGATTCTTTTTGTGTTTGTTCCTCATGATAAAGCTGGTTATTTTACTAAAGTGAGCTACAAGAAATAGTGTGGAAAATTGATGACATATGTCTTAATAAGCTAGAAAATAGACTTGGATGATTTTARTTTCAGTTGTTTTATCTGAGCATGTAAGAAAGAGTGGTTCATACTTATAATCAAACAATGACTATTTAATTAAAACATACATTGCAAGATCCAGACTAAAGTCCATTTTATAATACATACCTTCAGAATAGTCACACTTTCAATTTTGAATCCAGTACCTTCTTTCTTAATATTGTTTTATTAAATTTAATTACCATGGTTTGAAAATCAATGCTGGYTTCCTTTTTGTCTCCTGTTCTACTTTGCAAATCAATAATGTACCTGTTGTAGGGTTTTATGGTTTGCATGAATCAGATTTGGACAAAGTCTTCCAGCTGCCAACAACCACCTTCATAGGAGGAAATGAGAACAGTCTTTCTTTACGAGAGATCATCAAACGCCTRGAGGTCAGTGGGACATTTTTTCATTTGGGATTGTTTTCATTCAAACCAAAGGGAACTTTATCCAGGTGTCAGTCACAAAAACCCCTTATCATCTGTCAGTTATTAATAGAGCATGTGAAGAATTCAAATGACATTAAAAAATCTTTTGTGCTATTTCTAGAAGTTAGCAGCACCATCACTTTACTTACCTGGATGTTGGAAATACATAGATTAAGGATAAGTATAAAAGAGGTGAATATGGTAGAATACTAATTTCTGGCATCATTCTGGAAAGAACTGAAAGAATTGTTTAAAAGGGGTAGAGCCTTTAGAAATTGTCTTTTAAGTGTTGTACCACAAATAAACATCTGTGCACACAGTGCTTGGGATATTCAGGGGTTGCTTTCAGATCCCTACCTCTAGTGAGACCTTTACTTCAGGAGAAATAKGAAGGCTGTATGCCAAATTCATAAAAGCCCAGCTGTAGCTTGTAGACAGTGATGGTTCTTGTTTTCCATCCCCAGTCTCTTTTCTAGAGTTTCATTTTCTTACAGGTGACATGCTTTATGCCAGAGGAAGTCATCAAAGCTAAAATAATTAAATGAAAAACTAATTTGAAGGAATAAATATCATGAGAGGCAAGCTCCAAATAGCAAAGCAGCAAGTAGGAATGATAATGAATTTGTAGACTGCYGAGTGAGTCATTGTTGGATATTCCCAGTTGCTTGACTTTTACACTGGCTTAGCTGAGGCATGGTAAATTAAGTCACATTATCTCTGTTGTGCATTTGAGCTCTATATTTGGTTGTTGGTTTTTTTTGGTTTCGCATTTCTAGCGTATCTGTGTAGCACTTTTCAAGAGWTAATCCTTAAAATTTTAATGTGCAAATAAATGGACAAAATCTAAAAGCTTCAAAGAACTGATTTGTGTTAAGGAGACATAACCCTCTGCTTTCCTCTTCTCGCTATTGCTTTGTATTTTTTTTTTTTTTATTTAATAGAGGTTAACATTCAATTCCTTCTTAAAGGCAGTAGAAAGCACACCCTATGTAAAGAGTGGTTTTGTCTCAAACTCACAGTAGGTCTTACTTCTGTTAACTTGTATTTTGGACATATTTCTTTTTAAGGTAAGAAAAAGAAATTTGAAAATGAGCAAGGAGATAAAATTTTTGTTGTGTCTTTGCATTTTCCCCTGTTCTTTCTCTGCTCTCAGCTGCTTGGATTGTTTTTCACATTTCCAGCTTTCTGAAACTTGACCATTATCAGATAATTTGCATTAGACTTTATAGCTGTTTTCTTGCTGTCTTCTCACTGTCTTCATTGCTTGACTTAAGGTGACATTTAAAAAAAGATGTGATAAAAGACACAAATTTTGATAAATTGCTTAAAATCTTTGCTGTTGCATCTAAAGAAAAGTGTGTGGTATGTCTGTAAGAGCAGCACTGAATGAAGTGAAATGTGCTGGTCAGTTTAAGGCCAGTTTATTGGCCTACTTTAAGTTTAGCACCAGATGAGAATCTTCTGGTTTCAAAATTTTAAAATGTTGTTTTGTAGAGGAAGCTTTGTGGCATGAAACTAGATTCAATAAAATAATGTATTCAGTATTGATTCAGTATTGAATTAATAATAATTCAATAATGTAATTGTAGAATTACTTTGAGGAAGATCTTGTGGAAGAGGAAGAAAGGGTAGCTTTCAGGAGAGTAACAGAGAATATAATTAAAAAATCAAGTTTGTTTCTTTGTGGCCCACTAGCTCCTAAAGTTTGTCTGTTGGTGTTTTCACTTGGTAGCATACGTACTGCCAGCACATTGGTCTGGAGTACATGTTCATCAATGATGTGGAGCAGTGCCARTGGATCCGGCAGAAGTTTGAGTCGCCGGGAGTTATGAAGTTCACTAATGAGGAAAAAAGGACTCTGCTGGCAAGGCTGGTGCGCTCCATGAGGTACTCTGGGCTGGGACACTGCTCTGGGGCTGCTCAGCTGCCTGGGAGTGGGGGGATCTGCAAGTACTGAGCTGGGGGTGGACTGAAATCTGGAGTTACACGTGAGTGTAGTTAACGTGGCTGTGATATCAAAGGAAAATGTGTGCTCTGAGGAATCTGTCAGGTCTGTTGTGACTTAGTATTGTATTATCTTCAAAAGCCTCTAGTGCCGTGCCTGGCGATGTTTTTATCGTCTTGGGGACGTAAACTGGGAAAAAGTTGTTTCAACAGACTTCAATAAGCAACAGACTTCAATAAGCAACAGACTTCAAATATACATTTGTGTTAAAGATTCCTAGCCCTTTTCAGAAAATAAGTGTCAGAACAATATTGGTGCATGTGATTTCAAATCCTATTTCTGCCCTTTTCATTTGAGATGTGCCAAGATGTACTGTTGCATGAGCTGGCAGCAGCAGTTTCAGTCTCTACTATAAGGAAGCACATTTGGAAACAGCTTATTGACTGCTCCCACTGTGGCTATCTTTGTGGAAATACTGTGATCCCAGAGACTGAATTATCCTCTTACATTTAGAACAAGGCTTCTCAGACACAAGATCTATTTCAGTCCCTGCAATCTGAACAGTTTGTATGTCCTTTGTTAAATTCAAGAGTCAGAGATTTAGAAAGGCATGCTTTTCGGTTAAGATTCTATGTTCAAAAACCTCAAAACGAAGAGTGCTCATTGGAGGTGTCAAAAGATATTTTGTCCAAGTGTTTTGTTTGCCTGTGTTAAAATGTCTCATTAGAAGTTTCACTTAAACAGAAACAAAAATGTCACTTAATGGTCAAGTAAATATTACACTTGAGTAAGTTTAACAGGCCCTCAGCATGAACCATCTCCATTTATCATAAGACAATAATTTRTTTTTATTCCTGCCTAAGCTGTGGAAAGATCTGGGGTTTCCAGTAGCATGAAGGAGCCTAATGTTCTGCCAAATTAATTGTCTGCTGAAAGGGGTTATACAACCCCTTTAGAAAAAAGTTATACAAACATTTTTATCCAGCTATGTCTAGAGCAATTTTTAATTTCACTGTTTGAAAATGAACTAGGAAAAAGGCCTGGTTTTGCAGAAAACTGGTCGTCCTYTTGAAATCTGTGGCTTTGTAAGGCAGGTTTGTTTTGCTCAAGAACACTTCAAAAATGCTCATTGCAAGTACTGCAGAGTTCAGATACTTGAAACTGAATTTTTAAGTTGGATTTCTCATCCCTTGTGGTTTTCACTGATAGATTATTGAACAAAGGGTCATTTTTGATGCCTCCTTATGTAAAATATTAATATATTTTTGAAGTACTTTATATATACATTAGTAAATATGTTAGACCCTGATGTGGAGCCTGCTCTGGGCAGGGTCAAGCATTTGCAGATTAACCCCTTTTGAGAGCAACCATCTTTCATCTGATGTGTTCCTCACTGGGTGCTGAGTGCATGCAGTGACAGGGGCTGAGCTGCCAGCCTTTGGGACAGTGCCATGTAGRGGACTGGCCAGCTGTGACTGTGAAATGCTGCAGCTCTGCACACTTAGTGCTGTTTGCCTCAAGCAATGAACTYGCTGCTGCCAAGAGGAGGAATATAGTGTGTGCACTGCTTTCCTTTCYCTGCTGCTCACATGGGACCCCATTTTCCCTTTATATAAAGACTGGCATAGACTTCCCTGAGGAATCCTGGCAGAACGGCTCAGCTGAGTGTCTGGCTTGTTGCTTAGATGGCTGGATTGTAAGGTATTGATGGGTGAACTATGGAGAGACTTTTGGCAACAATTAATTTCACTGCCTTTAGGGCTTCAGTCTACAGAGGTAAATGTCAGCATTCTCAGTGAGGAATAAGCTGAGTATTAATGGATTATGGCAGTGTTATGAGTCGAGGCACTGCACAGATGATGTAACCAATAGTTGCTTTCATGAAGATGTATTTTCTTTGCCTTTTGTATCTCTAAGCTTTACAATGTATAATCCTTTCAATGTTTGTTAAAAGGTACTTTTAAACCACTCACATTGCCTCTGGCCCAAATGCATTAAAGAATGAAAGAGCTTAGAGCTGTCAGGGATTGACATTCTGCTGCTGAAGCCGAGGCAGAGATACCAGTGTCCTGGTTCTTGGCACATTCCCAGCTGTTACATCACACAGTCTGAGGAGCCTTTTTATTGAATGAGACCTAGGGAACAGGCATGCTTTCTACTATAGTTTTTTTACCAGTATTAGAAAATACAGGTTRCATTTTCTTCAGTCACTTCATAGAAGAGATTTCTTTGCTGTCACTCTGACTTCCCAGTGGTCGGTAGTTGTGTACATGAGAAAAGAGTTTAAACTGGAAAGTAAATTTTGTCTGCGGTGGAGACTCTTACTAGTTTCAAAGTCCTAGTACATACTTTTCAGATTAAAGTGAAAGAAGACTGAATTCTCTCCTGCATTTCCCTCTGTGTGACTTAGTTCCAGAGGCCTAAAAACTTGTATTCACAGATGTTTTAGAACAGTTTAAAATCATTTTATTTGCTAAAATATGTTTGACAATAAGTATTTGCTACATTACCTTAGTACAAATAATTTCTCTTGTTTTTTTGTTTTTCTTTTTGGCAAAGATTTGAAGACTTCCTTGCTCGTAAGTGGTCTTCTGAAAAGAGATTYGGTTTGGAAGGATGTGAAGTAATGATTCCAGCACTTAAGACCATCATTGATAAATCCAGTGAAATGGGAATTGAATATGTTATMATGGGAATGCCTCATAGGTAATGCCAATGGAAACACCCCAACAAATGGCTTATCATGTTAAAACAAGTTTTGGGTTCTAGAATTCTACCAAYRAASTTGGTATTAGAGAAGSTGAGATAAGAAGAGTCAGTCTTAGCAAATAATGGGAACACAGAACTGTAACAAATGCCTGTCAGTAAGACGCTACAGGCTTCACAGGTAAATAGTAGAGAAACTCTCCTCAGTGTACCTTGAAGCTGCAAGCAAATGTGGCAGCAGCCATGGTATGTCTGCCATTGCATAGAGTCTAGAACTGGGAAAGCTTGATGAGGTAGTTTTGAGCCTTTGCAGTCTGCCTTAACTAATTTTTCATGAGATTATGTAAAGACTGCTAGATAGCTACAAAATTCACTTGGATAACTAGGTGTTTTAATGTCTGAGTGAATGCAAAGTTCCTCAGCTTTGTAATGGAAAGAAGGTAAATCAAGGGTTTCAGGCTCAAAAGTTTGAAGAGACCATTTGCATGTTTCTGGCAGCGTGGCTCGTGGATTTTGTAGATTTTATAATATTGACTCTGTTATTACCATTTCTGAGACATAACTGTGTTTGGAATTTTCTTAGAGGYCGGCTGAATGTATTGGCTAATGTAATCCGCAAAGAGCTGGAGCAGATCTTCTGTCAGTTTGATCCCAAACTTGAAGCAGCTGACGAGGTAAGATGCTTTCTCAATAGATCTGTATAGAGAGGTCAACATTCTAGGTAGTTTTCAGTTGCTTTGGTCATGGTTGCTATGAGAATAGCATTATCAGCTGCTGAAATACATTGCCTTCTTTTCTAGTTAGAGGAATAGGGTTCAGTGAAACTTCTTAACAAATTTAAAAATTATGTTATATTTCTTTTACGAGTGACTAGATAAGTAAGTTCCATTTGACAGAATTCATAATCTCTAAGCATCTCTCTTGGTTTTATGTAAATGAACAGAGTATCAATATACTGAAAGTATTTATCTAACATTTGATAGCAACAGTAAGATAATACAATAAGAACAGTGTTGCAGTTTGATGTTATGTTGTCATAAGAACAGTGTTGCAGTTTGATATTATGGTGTCAAACCCCAAGTGCACACTGATGTACAGGTAACCACGTGCATTTTTCAGACTGAAGCATAGATTTTAGGCCTAGTGAATCAGATATAGCAGGCATGAATGAATCATGAATCGTGATGAYGTCTTTCATGTTAGGGATCTGGGGATGTAAAATATCATCTGGGAATGTACCATGAGAGGATCAACCGAAGAACAAACAAGAAAATCACTCTGTCCCTGATGGCTAACCCTTCTCACTTGGAAGCAGTYGATCCTGTTGTGCAAGGGAAAACAAAAGCTGAGCAGTTTTATCGAGGGGATACAGCAGGGAAAAAGGTAAAGATTTTTTAAAATAGTAACTTTTAATGGTAGTTTTTCATGTTATTTTTTAATAAAAGTAATTCGCTAGTAGTTTCACATCACAGAATCTTCATCTTTTCCTTCTTCACAAAAGGGATATATCATCTGTTCATCTAGTTAAGGTTTCTGACATGATACCTTAAGGGTAACTTTGGGAAGTAGGCTTAAAGCTTTGTTTCATTTGCAAACTGAGTAAAGGCAGCAGAATGCTGAGAAATGTATGGTTTATTATAAACTTACTGTTAAATTTTGTAAGTACTGTAGAAATATGGAGCAAGGAAATCCTGTTGAGARGCTTAAATTGCARTTTTACTTTCTAATATATATGTGGRTATATACATATATGTGTGTATGATYCTCCTCCTAGGTTATGTCCATATTATTACATGGGGATGCTGCCTTTGCAGGACAAGGAGTAGTTTATGAGACATTTCACCTTAGTGACCTCCCATCCTACACCACAAATGGCACTATTCACGTTGTTGTCAACAACCAGGTAACAAGTAAAGCCTTTTCCAATCAACTTCTCTGCTGAATATTTGCTCATTTATTTCTTTCTATGGTTTGTTATTAACTGGGTTCATTGTCCCCTCTGGCTATTAGAATGGTTGGGATGTTTCTGAAAATGATTCTAGTATCTAGCAATTCTTGAGTGGATAATATTTTATCACCTACATGTAGTCYACTCAATTTTTAATATGTAATTGGATTAGGATTGCTTTGCTTTTTAAGGGAGGAAAAAGAAGCTAGCTAGCCAAAATGAAAAACTGATGCTGTTGCRTGTCAATGGTTATTAACTGTAAACTTCACTCAAAACAGAGTAAAGGGAGGTGCCCRTATTATTTTAACAGATATTTCTGGAATTTTTAGATTGGCTTCACCACAGAYCCCCGTATGGCCCGTTCATCTCCATATCCCACTGATGTTGCTCGTGTGGTCAATGCTCCCATTTTCCACGTGAATGCTGATGACCCTGAAGCAGTGATGTAYGTGTGCAGTGTGGCTGCAGAGTGGCGAAACACTTTCAATAAAGATGTGGTGGTTGACTTGGTAAGTCTTGGCTTTCTTAACTTTTCATTCTGTTCATTATGTTCTGCTTTTATTTTTTTGTGGCTTGGAAGTTCCAGTTAAGGAATGTATTTTAAAAGGCCTTCAGTTTTTTCATTTTAAAAATCCAAGCGGCTGACAGGTCCATAAGAAGCCATGAATGTTTTTTGTAGAATAAACCTCTTAAAATCTCAAGGGATGAAATGGAAAAAAGTTCATTTTACTTTCTTCCTTATCAGCAGAAGCAATCTTTCCCTTTGTAGGTTTGTTACCGTAGGAGAGGGCACAATGAAATGGATGAGCCCATGTTCACCCAACCTCTGATGTACAAGCAGATCCATAAGCAGGTGCCAGTGCTGAAGAAATACGCTGACAAACTGATTGCAGATGGGACTGTGACACTGCAGGAGTTTGAGGTACATGTCAGCAGAGTTAAAGGGAACCTAAGGAGCGGTAAGGAGAAAGACAAAACTCTCATTGTATGCTGTCTACTTGAAAACCTTCTTTACTGTGATAAATCTTCACCCTTTGACACTTTGTGTTTCAATTTGGCGTGGATTTCCAGGTAAAATACTGTTGTAACAAGAGGACTTCAAGTGCTCTGAAGTAATTAATATATATTGCACATAAAAAATTGCTTCAGTTCTGAGGGAGAAGGTGATAAAATGAGAACATTGGAAAACAGAGGCATTTGTCAGCTGTTCTTCATCTCTAGAACCTTGATTCAGCAGCAGGACAGTATTTGAACTCTCCTGTAATTGTGGTTTACTATTTATGATGTTGGCAGGCTTGTGTTCAGCAATGATGCAATAAAATCAATTTAACCCTTCTATTTTCTTTCAATAATTCAAACAAGTTCAGGAATCATTAGAAGTATTCCAGAAAAGATAAGCGTAGATCTGGTATCTGTATTAAACTGGTGAGGCTTTTACCTTAATCTTTTTGAGAATGGTTCTTTAAAGTGCAGCTGGAACAAAGGACCTTCTGAGAAGGTGTAATGACATGGTACTGCAGATCAAGAAAKGAGCAGTTTGTGTAGGTGTATTCTGTTATCTGTAAGAATGAACACAGCTCATGCAGGAGTWGCTTTCCTGAATCACTGTAAGAGTGTGCCAGTAGAGGCACCATGGGATCTGTTAACTGGGTCCAGGATCCTGGATGGATGTTTGGCTGTACAGAGCTCAACATTACTGTTAATTCCTTTTAAGATTAGCTAGCTCAATAATTTGAGCATGGTTCTGGATCGAGACACAGACACTGCAGTGGCATTCTGCCTCGACAGAATATGGCTTTATATCTGTTGCCATTGAGAGTTGTGACCTGCAGACTCTTTGCTAGACTCTCCCAGACATACTAATTTTTTGGGAATTTTTTTCCAAGCTTTAGTAGCTTTTGTAGCCAGGAGTATGAGAGCTGGATGGTTTTGGTCTTAGAAGTATGACTGTAAATATTTGGTATTTCAATTCTCTCTCATTCTAGAGCAATGTTTGCAGCTTCAACTCTTCAGCTTTTCTCTGTAACACCAATGAACTAAGTAATTTATTTAAAGTAATGTGTGTAAGCATATTTCTAGAAGKCAGTTTGATCCTACATAAAATTAATTTTATTTATTGGCATTATTGTAACTGAATTTTCTCATGGAGKTAAATAGCTGGTTTTATCCTGCTGAATGAGAGGTGTCATGTGTGAGATACGAGTGTGTTATTTTTCCCATTTTGAAAAGCTTTTTGTTCTACAGGAAGAAATTGCAAAGTATGATAGAATATGCGAAGAAGCTTATACTAGATCTAAGGATAATAAGATCCTTCATATCAAGCACTGGCTTGATTCACCTTGGCCTGGTAAGGAGTGTCCTGTGTTAGTGTTATCTGAGTGTGCTTTTGAGTCCAAAATCTAGGATTTAAATAGATTKGGTCAGTGTTCCTTTAAAATGGAATATGGAACATTTGATTTGCCCCTGTTAATAGTGAATATAGCATTCTGTCAGATCAASTTGAAATAAATGCTTTTGTTAAAAAACATGCAAAGGTGTGACTTTGAAAAAGCCATTTTCTAGTTTAGAAGAGAAGTGGTTTTCCTGTAYTGTTAACTGTCTGTGCTGTCAGGAAGAAGGAGTATGTCTCACGTTGTTTATTCATTTATTTATTTATTTTTATTTGAGGGATTGAGGTGCCATATGCTTTTATTGGCTGCCTCTGCCCACATAGTTGGACTTCACAGGGAGGGAAAGCAGAAGGAAAATAGATCATTGTGTGCATGTAAGATCAGCTTCTGTTGTCATGCAGACAATCAAAATTATTGTTTCCCAGTGAAAGGGGAGGAACTAGGCTTCGTTTGCTGCTTAGAATGTCCCTTGAGTTGTGAGTTAAAAAAACTTTAGATAACATGCATGTCTCTTAAACATGGTCCTTGAACAGCCCACCAAATTTCTTCCTTCCAGGTTTCTTTACCGTGGATGGAGAACCCAAGAGCATGTCTTGCCCTCCGACGGGCATTTCGGAAGAGCTGCTGACTCACATTGGCAACGTTGCAAGTTCAGTGCCAGTCCAAGACTTCAAAATACACTCAGGTCAGCTGAAGGCTTTGTGTCCTATTGGCTTTGTGTCTTGCTCCATTTCTGTATTTCTGCACAGAGGTAGCTCTTGGGCCKTTTCTCAGAAAGGAACTTGCCTGTAACTTTTTTTGCTTTGAGTCTTCCACTCTATGGGTGAGGAAAATGTGACAGTTAAGGTCCTGCAGCTTGTTCTCAGTGTAATGTTCTTTCAGTATCATCCCATTTCTGTTCCATTCCTCATTAAAACAGATTTTCCTCTGAGGGAGGGAAAAGTTGCTTCGCAGCCTTAAGTTAATAACTCCTTTCATCCTTCAAGTGCTTGTGGAAAACACTTCCTCTGTACAGCACATTTTTGAGATTTGCTGGGAAGTAAGGTACCTATCTCAGGAAGCATTATAATATGGGCTTTTTTAATGCTGGTGGAAATTTGAGGTCCACTTGACGCTTCTTGTAGTTGCATAACTACAAGAAATAGAGCTTGGACTTTTTAGGCCTGGCAACATTACTAATCTACTATGTAAACTGAGGTTTTAGTACAACTGAATGCATGCTGTGTGGGCAAATTCTGAYAGGTTTATTTTCTGGGTAGGATTTAGTGTTGATGATAGCACAAATCTAGCATTTTTTTCCAAAAAGTCATAGCTTTTGTTCTGAAAAGATTCACTTCTCACTTTGACATCTATTACAGTAAGTGCTTGTCTCACTGTGGAGCCCCAACACTGTGCCAGAGTTTTGAGACAGCTTTACTTCCTGGTCAGATTGAAATCTATCAACTATTGGGAGTGAGAGTCTGCTCAGTCCATGGGGAGACCCTTTGCTTGGGCATCTTTTTTTCTTTTGTGGACTTGTAGGGGACATACTCAGGGTAAGGAATAAATAGCTTTTTTTTCTGTTTGAAACCTTTACCTAATCTTCTCTAGAGTCATCCATCAAGGAATAAAATTTGTCCTCTGTAAATATTCTATGTGTTTATGTTCCTTTGGGAAATGAAACACAAGTAATGATCACAGGGCATACCCAGTTATCAATTGMAGGCTTGTTGAACAGATGCAATTAATGGATCAATTTAAAGCTCTTCTCCACATTTGTGCACTTTCTTGTGATGTTGATAAATTAGAAATTATAGTCACCCAATAAAATTTAGTATGAGGCATTCTAATGAAAAAGGTAAGTTGGTGTCTCATTAGTRAGTTGATTAACCATTCACACTAGGGAACACTTGCCAGTATATAAGGTAGATTTATGGTTCAAAACAATTATGGTATGTTAGATTCTTCTATGCCGTTTAAAAGGCCATGAGAGAGAATTTGTGGAGATACAGAAGGGGAGAGAAATAGAGATTTGAAGTAGGTTGTCCTTTTGCTAGAATGAAACAGTTTAATATCATGAAGACTTTTAACAAACAATGGGAAGATTATGYTGTGTTATCAGATGTTTGGTATATTCTAAAGGGAAAATTGTCAAGATTTTTCTTTACTTAAAATGTGGCAATTTCAATGAGAGTTTTATGTGGAAAGAAAGTGGAGTGCTTTTCTGTAAAATTGTGGAAAGTTAGGAAAGGGAAATATGGGCAAAGCTGTGGGACAGCTTACCAAAATCATTAGTGCAGATATGTAAGTAAGACAGTGTCAGGTGACACTGAATATAGGAGACTTGTGGCTTYAATGCTGGAAGCACCTGTCTGCAGCTGTGGAGATTTGTTCCCTTTGAAAGTTACCTTGTTKTAATTTGTGTTTTGGCTCATGAGGTTATAAAATCTTCACTGAAAWAGATCAGCTATTGGTTATCAACTGAAAATCCGTTGGCAGCTGCTGCAATTTTCTGTTTATATGATATTCATGGTATTGATCAATCCAGCTTGTTTAACTGTATAACATCTCCGGAAGTCCAATAAGACAAATGCCAAAAAAAAAAAGAGAAAAGGAAGGAAGAAAAAAAAATCAGAAACCAAATTGCTGATATTTTTAGTCACTTATAAAACTGTACTTGGTGTTACAGATGTGAAAATAAATCTTGAGGAAGAAGAATTTCTCCATAGGTCTTTTTAATTGTCCTCAGCAGTTTCTGACACAATTTTTCTCCTTTGAAATCAAGATATGARGATTATACAACTGTTTGCTCAGGAAGTAATTTGTTTTATTTTGCCAGAAGTTCATTTCTAGAAAAATAATTTRTAGACCTGATTTGGTATCTGTGTTTAGCTTAGCCAGTGAGGAAGGAGAATGGTGAATGTAATAGGAACATAGAATTTCTCTGAAACAGATCCATTCATTTCTGATCTTTATTCCAATGTAGGACTCTCTCGGATTTTGAAAGGCCGCTCRGAAATGACCAAGAACAGGGTTGTTGACTGGGCCTTGGCAGAATACATGGCTTTTGGCTCTGTTCTGAAAGAAGGGATCCATGTCCGACTRAGTGGGCAGGATGTGGAGAGAGGTACTTTCAGGTGAGTACTAGGATTACTGTTAAATGCTGTTAAAACTGTGTAAGTCCCACGCTTAAAGAAACAACTTGGCATTTGTTAAAAAATATGGTCCTCTGCARGGAGGAGAAAGTTGGGTCTCTTTAGCTGTAGTCTGAATGTTATAGTTTCTAGTAGTCAGTAATAATAATTTTTCCTGTGTGTCTGTAAGGAGCATTTTAAAGTAAAATRTTTAAGGCAGAAGAAACATTTTTACATACTTTCTACCTTCTCTTGCTGAAAAGCAGAAATGGTATATTTCACCTGCTTTCTAACAAAAAATGCAGTTGCATTCTCTCTAATTGCTGAGAAGTAAGAGAGGGTACTTGCTGCAGCAGCTCCTGAGTCTTTTAAGTACCATTCCAGTGGTGGCTGCTTGAAACTTATGTACCCTGTGAACAAACCTGCTGCCAGTTTGCAAGGTTATTAAAAGTGAAATAAGGTCCATTGTACTGAGATTTTTAATGCCTATGGAGCATGAACGACTGCAGGATCTCATCACTTTGTAAAATATATACAGTTTGCTGCCTTACCTGATTCTCTATAGAGTAAAATGTTAATGATGTATTTAATTGAAACCTTTGAAGTGATGCCAATTCCTGGGGTGAATGCTGCACTGTGCTTCATTGTGAGTGCTTGCAGAAGAAAGAAATAAATCTTGATGCCTCTCTTCTCTGGTATAGTATTGCCTAGAATTTGGGAAGAACTGAATACAGTGTGTTGCCATAATAAAACAGCACAAGGAGTGCTTTCAGTATTTTGGGGCTTCTGAAGTGCTGTCTAGAAAATAGTTCTTCCTTTCAATATTCAGTGTGATGGCTTGTTTTCTCCCTGTTTCAGTCCTCCGCACTATCAATAGATAAAAGCTAGATAAAGCTGCAGGCRGAAGCACCAGACCCCTTCTCCTTTTGGAGACAAACTCTTGAGAARGAAGGGGAGACAGACTTGATTCCGTACTGGTTTGATGTCAGTAAATCTGACAATTACACACATCCAACTTCTTTGTCTGTATATTTCTGTCTGTCCATCTGTGCTCAGTTTGATCATCTTTTGCTAAGGAAATACAAAACTTTGTGCTCAAGAAGCTTAACACCTAGCTAGGCCTTCTGTCTTTGGCTGAATGATGAAACCAAAATTACAGTGGTAAAAATTATTTCTGCCAAACAGCTACCTGGCGTATGAATTTTCCCCTTTCTCTCTACTTCCCCTCCCTGTGCTGCTCTTCAAAAGTTCTTTCTTTTTCTGGCCTTACATTGTTGAGTTCTAGATAAATTTCAGAGCTCTTTTGCTGGCATTCATTATAGCAAAGGGAAGTGTGAAAAGATTCAGTGTTGGCAGCTCTACAACACAGTGTTGTTAGCAGTAYAATAACTGTCCTTATGTTAGCAGTTGTAAAGCTGGACATATTGCTGTGATTCACTCAGTCTGCTCAGAGCGTTAATGGATTGCAGTAATTACTTCAGTCATCTCTGTTTGGTAGTATTCCTTGGTGTCCCATTCTAATGCTGATTAATGGTGTTCTAGAGAACTGTAAATGGTGCATGTGAATGGAAATAGCATGAAAGAGGATACAACTCCTTTCAAGTCTCAGTGTTTAGATTAGATTAGATTACTTTTTTTTTCCATAAAAGGCAACATCAGTTGTTTCAAGGAAAATATTGGCATTTGTTAGGAAAGTGAATTGAAATATTCTTAATAAAAATTTTGTTCTTCTGCATTCSTTTGCTTTACTAATTCTATTTTACAGCAACAACTTCCCCATTCTTTTCTCTTTCCCCCACCAGTTCTGCTGGTGATGAGGGAGYTTCTGTGAGTGCTTGAAAACACAAGGTAGTCAATGAAAACACTGGGTAGTCAATGAGAGTTCTTACAGTGCAGCAATTGTATTTGGACATATGRTTGTATTTCCTGTGGTTTCAGCCAAACCAGGGTGTGGCAAACATAATCATGGTGCTTCCTTCCTTTCCAGAACACAGCTTYGATGCTTTAGCTTTGAAAACAGCTCTGTTAAAGCCCAAAGTGATTCTTGGCTAATGAATCTCTTTCAATTACTCTTTGCAGCCATCGTCACCATGTGCTTCATGACCAAGAAGTTGATAAGAGAACTTGTGTTCCCATGAATCACCTSTGGGAGCAGCAGGCTCCCTATACCGTGTGCAACAGCTCCCTGTCTGAGTACGGGGTCCTAGGTATGTTTTAATCTGCCTGTGCTTTAGTAGGGTGCTATACGAGAAGCAGAGCTCAGCAAGGAAAAGAATGTAGAAAAAATTGCTGTAAAATGCTTATATATGAAACAGGTATCAAAGCTCTTCCTCTCAGGTTCTGGCATCCCTTAAACAAGCAACCCCCCATTTCATAATTTTGGGATTTAGTTAAAAGCATCCATCTGCCATTGTTCTTGGCAGTGCTGGARCATGCACCTGATGCTTTCTTAAAAGGGAGGAACTGACAAGAAAACCAGGGACAGTCTGTAATAGAGATATAAAAAATCCATTCTGGMCTTATCTGAACTGCTATTCTGAATGTGCTATTTCAAGAAAACAAATTCTCTTTAGTGATAGCATTAATCACAGTGAATTATTTTACCTTCAGCYACAAAGAATGGATAACCTTAAACTGACATGATGAGGGTGGCAAGAGGAATGTGGAGCACGAAACAAATACATCTAATAATTTATCAAGTGCTTTCTATGGATAATAAAATATTGTGTGAAGGAAAAACTTGAAACATTGTAGTAGATAAAGATGGTAGTTGATAGCTGCTTGTGTCAAAGTTCCAGAAATATTTGATTACTTAGTCATTTTTACAACACTACATATTACTTATTGCTAATAATATTAAAAGTAAAATGGTATAAAATTGTGCAGTTGGAGCATGGGCTTAAGAACAGATTTTTTTGSTATTTTTGTTAGCTCTATGGCAGAATCAGTGTGAGCAGAATCACATTTTTGTATTGCTAACGTGTAAAGGTAAACTTTAAATAGGAGAGTGCAAGCAAGGATRTGTATAAACAAGAGAAAATAATTGGCATAGATAAAAATCAAGAATTTAATTTCAGAGAATGATTATTTCCAATTTCCTATTGTTTCTCACAGTGTGTTCTGGGGTTTCTTAATTTGAGCCTGTTTACAGTGTTGCTGCCAGTCTTATGGGTAAGTGGGTCATAGGTTTCTGGATTTGGTTTTTTTACATCTAAATGAAAGTGACAAATGTGTGGATATGGTTGAAATCTGATTTTGTTCCAAAAATAACACCTCAGTAGGGAGCCTAGTGTTGATATAATGTGAAGGTAATTCTTACTGTCACAATTCCCTTCTTTAAAAAACTAACCAAGTGGGTTCGCTTTCTCTTTTTTGATCTCATCCTGCCCGCCTTGCACCTTACCCAGCAAAAGATTGGTGAAAGCTGATTTAATAAATTCATTCAATACTAGCAATAAGGTAAAATAGGGGTTCGTTTGTATGCTGAAAACAAGAATACCATTTCTTGCATTTCTGCTTAAGCAGATGGGATGACAGGTTTTTCAAAACTAATAATTTTGATATTTTTGTATTTCAAGAACTTKAAATCCCTTATGTCTGAGATGTTTTCTAACAGTAAAAAGGAGATTARATTGATAGAAATAGTTGATAAGTGATGTGGCTTTTTGTGTGCTTGTTGTGTTGGGTTATTTTAAACTAAAAATGTTCTATGTTGAGGTGATTTTATAATGAACTTTCGTCTCCCTTGCTGTCTTTTATATATTGACCTTTTCCAACGTGTTTGCTCTTGTGTATTGTCTCCACAGAGAGACAGCATTGGGATAAGCAGCAGTGTGTGAACATGTCTCTTCTAGTTAAGGCTCTGAGTCAAAGAGGAGCTATTTGAATTKATATTTATTTGGCTGGTCACATCCCTGGGTCTCCTTTACATGAAAGAATAAGTGAATGCCTGCAATTCATGAAGTTGATTCTTCCTTCAGAAGAGCCAAAACCCCTGAACACTCTTCTTTCTCTAACTGCTGTTTCTACTATCTAAATCTATTAAAAGAAACAGTTTAGAATTAGTGCACTGAAGTGTTTGATGGGSGTAGGAGAGTTGTGAGATAATGTAAAATGGAAACAAAGGTGAAAAAGTGTTAGGAATTTATGTTAGGCTGTGTTAACATGCAGCACTTCAGAAGCATTTGGGAATTCCCTTAGTTTCTGTGAGGAGAGCTAAGTGAAAATAGTTTAAACAGCCCAGCATGATATAACTGCAGATTATTTCCTTGGCAGGTACATGCCAAGAGCTGGTATCTGTTCAGAGCTGTGAGCTTTGCACCAAGTTATAGTTGAGCTAGTTAAGAACACCTGGGGATCCATTGCTCCATTAAAATGATACCCTGACAAGATTGATTTCACTTAGAATTAAAACAAAGGCAGTCTTGTTAWATTGTAGTTCAGACAACTGCTTATGTTTGGCTGCAAGAAACTTTGAGTGTGTGTGATCTGGGCATTATATCAGAGTATTTAACAATCTCTGATAATTTAGAGTATTTAACAGCCTCTGATAATTTTGTTTGACACCCTCTGTCTACTATTTTTATTTATATCAAGATTATTATAATTTAGTTGTGCATCCAACTTGGCTTGCTATAATTTTTCCCTTTTGCTGAAACCGAATGTCTGGAAGTGTGAGTGATGGCCATGAGATGTCACCTAATCAGCAAATAAACTTCGAGTTTATTTGCTGATTAGAATAGAGGAGAAAAACACAACTTACAGATGCTCCGTTCTACCTCTTCGGCATTTTCTAAATACTTGAAAGGGTTTCCTGTCTTTCATCACAGCCCTCAAAATGACTTGTGTTGTGTTGAGTCTCTAACCAGGAGGTGAGGTTCTATGTCAGATTCAGTACTGCCTTTGAGACATCTTGGGCTGTAGCATCCTGTCCTGGGAGCTTCCAAGGAATGTCAGGCAAGATAGACTTGAAACTAGTGTGTAGTTCAGGAAATTCGTGAACCATGACACTTGGAGTATAGCTTTTTAAAGGGGGAAAKTCAAGTTTAAAGCAAAAAGTGAAAGGAAGAGGACAGGTAGTAAATGTAAAAGATGTAAAATTATTTTTGGCAATACACACAGAGGATGAAATACGTAGTATTACTGCTCAGAGCAATGGGGGTAGCAAATAAAATTACCTGTCAGAAATTAGGAACTGGGATAGACTGTAGTGATCAATGGCATCTGCATACAGTTCTGAGAAGGCATCACTGTCCCTGYTTAATAGAGTCAGCCACCAGATGGGTGTTAACTTCACTTTGTCCTGAGCTCTGTTTGGGTTTGTGAAAGGATGCATATCCCTCTGTAGTCCCTGTGCTTAGAATTTCTGTTAAACATAGCAAAACTCTTTGTAACTTTCTCATTCTGACATAAAATCCTCACACTGACAAGCTCTTTTAACCATTAGTGAACATTTGTGCCCTAAGTCACTTCAAAATCATACTGAATTAAGTTATAGCTGTAGCCTTACTTAACATTAACTGAAAAATCTGCTGTTCTTATGACAATCATGAAAATGCTGTGGGGAAAAACACACCATAGTATGCTGTGTAAGCTGCCACTTTGCCTGACAACACTTCTTTCTGTGCTGGAGTGGTGGAAGAACAGTGAGGGAGCACAGCAGGCACTGGACTAATAGAAACAAGCATTTCTGCTAGGGCTGTCATCTAGGGACCTTAATGRACTCCACCAATTAAAACATTAGTTTTGCAGCCTTAATCAAGTGCTGTGTATTTTTCTTCCCTCTGTCTCCTCAGTTTAGTTTATAAAACTGCTGTGCTGGTTCCTGGTTCCCTGTGCCCTGGAGTGCTCTGAGCCCTGAGCAGCTGCCTGCTGTTTGGAGTTGCCTGCTGTTTGGAGTTGCCTGCTTGCTCTCCAACACCCTCTGGGTGTGCAGATCTTACCTGACATTCTTTGAAAGCTGTCTTGTTGTCTGACTGTCTTGGATTTCCTCACAGCTTCAACTTGTTCTCTGTTTCTAGCTGTGTAARATTTAATCCTTTAATCCCACAACATTTGCACAGCATTCTAAAGATATGTTCAGTTCTTGTTTCTGCAGATGCAAACAATGAAGTTTGCAAGTCTCTACTGTTTTTCTCTGTGTTTTTTTTCTTTTTACTTCTTTTTTCTGGACGGAGGTTGAGCCCTCATGAGGGACCTGTGTAAGAACRTGCTCCCCTGCAGTTCTTGTCCCATCTCTAGAATGGAGGAGACTTCATAGCCCAGGTCATCTTCCCTGACCTTGGCTCTGGTGCCCCAAACATTCCCTTTTAGGAGAGTACCTCACTTTTTCCTGGCCTTTTTACCTCTCATTTGTCTAGACCTCTTTCCATCAGCATTTTTTTTTTTAAATTTAGCAGTTCAGATCTTGTCCTTTAAGTGATTTTCTCCACATGAACGTAGGAGTAGTAATTCTTGACAGACTCCTTAGCCTTTCAAGAATTAAAACTATTCCACTGCAAAAATCACTATTAGAATAGTTTTAATGTTAGCAACTCTCATTGCCATTTCCCTGGCGGAAAACTGAGGTCTGGTATACTAAAGATCTGTATACCATAGRCACATGTGCCATGAAACAGTAGTCTTGGCAACATTAATCTCAAAATACCAATCAGAATGTATAGATTACGTTTGGATATATTTTCCCAGATATTTGCAAATGTGTCTGTGTTAAGATCATATTTTTTGATGCAGCTTCACCTAGAACATAGTTACCTTGTGGAGACTAGSACAAAGTTGTCAACAAGATAGGAAATGAGAAATTATGCTACTTTTTCTATGTGAATTTTAGGATGATTTTTGGTATGGATCTTATGTGTGTGCTGTGACCAAATTTTAAGTATGCACTGAGCTCCATACTCTTTGAAAAACACTACTTGATTACTGATAACAATGAGTGATCGAGACCTCAGTTTGTGYTTCTCTAAAAGCTAGATTACCCCACCCTTAGAGAGAGCAGCATATGCACAAATAAGTCTTGAACATATTGCATATTTTCTCAACCATGTCACCCAATCAGTAGAAATGGTCTCTTCATGCTTGTGTAAAATTAGAATGGGATTCAAGCCTATCTAGGGAAATCTATTTTTCAGATACCTTTGGGAATATGATTGAAGGAGTTGTGTAAATTTTCCCRCTGTTTTCATTGCGTTAAGAACAATAGAATTACACAAATGAGCAGGCCAGAGATGGAGAAATGGCTGAAGGAAAGGCTGTTCAGGCAGTCAGATCAAAGGCATGCCCAGCAAAAGCCATTCTCTTTGGAAATGACCTGTCATGGGGACTCACAGGCAAAGGGCTGTCTGTCTGACTTACCAGSCTTCTTTTGGCCTCTCATGTATTAGTTGCCTTTTGGTGGGATCATGAGCATCTGCTKGAGTCATGGATGGACTGTTCCGAGATAAATAGTCCAAAAGCCAAGTGACTCAAAGATTTCTTGCCATGGGAGATGGTAAGCAAAAAACTGGGTTGGAATTACCAAGGAGTAGACTAYGAAGACACAAAAGTTAGTTGATCTGCTGGGGTAAGCTTCAGTGAGAGTATTCCCRTACTGAAGTTCTGTATTTGAAACCAGGTCATTATATTCTGTGTAGAACTTTAACATGAGATGTATCTGTCAATTAAATATTTATTCCCGTGTGTACTGAATCAATTTTGCCTCAGTCAGAACCTCTACACCCAGGGCTGTGCTATATAGCTCTGCTTTTTACTGAGAGATTAACCTTTTTGGTTATAATAATTCCAAACTACAGGTGGAGAATCTGAGTACAGGTATTTGTTCACCACTCCAGGCTCTGCTGTATCAAAGTGTCAAAGGAAAATATGAACAGAGCTCAAATACAGTCTGGCACTGAAGGAAAAATGTAAAGAGTCCTTAACCCTGCCTAAGAAAGGATTGTTTATCCAAGTCCCAGGTCTGTTTGCCATGCATTGCTATTATGTTCAAGCTTTTTGGAAGATCTGAAGACTATGATTCTGTCTGTAGACTGAAAATTGACGTCACCCGTAATTTTTCAGCATCTGCATATGAGAGGGGGAAAAGAAAGACAATGTTTTGTAGGGCTGTGGAAGTACTAAAATTGATAAATAACTTCTTTAACTGGTATTGAGCTGTAAGTARGTTTTTACAGSTGGAGATAGTAGTAARCTTTTAGGAAAACATTCCRCTAAAGTTGGAGCTGAGGGAGGGRGTTTGTTTAAAAACTCCTGTGATAYTGAAATGTTTGAGGAAAAGTTTGAAGGATTGAAATCAGGCCTTGAAATGGTACTAATTGAAAATGGTGTGATTTATAACAGTACTGCAAAAATCCAGTTCATGCTTTAATTTTGTYTTTGTTTTATTYTTTATTTTTAACAAGGAATGAAYAGAATTTTCAGCAAAACTGATMATTTTCTAATTTTCCTCCTTGTTTGCTTGTCAGGTTTTGAACTTGGCTTCGCTATGGCGAGTCCCAATGCCCTGGTGTGCTGGGAAGCCCAGTTTGGGGATTTTCACAACACAGCTCAGTGTATAATAGACCAGTTCATCAGCTCCGGCCAGGCCAAGTGGGTTCGTCACAACGGGATCGTCCTGCTCCTGCCCCACGGCATGGAAGGAATGGTGAGGGCTGAAGAATGTAGATAGATTACCTGGTGAAAACCAAAAAACCCTGAGAAATATTTGAGCTCTTAGCTTTGTGTCCTTCTTAACGGCATGTATCACTTCCTCTCTTTTTTTTCCTTTTTTTCCCTCTCTTTTTTGGAATCTTCCCCTAAGACACTGCCTTATTTCCCTAGAAAGCTGAATCTTATCGTACAAGAAAGAAATCATGTCTAGGAGTGCTTGCTTAGTTTTATTTTGCATAAAGTACGTCTGCGTAAGCTCTGCAGTAAATTCTCTTGCCATGAAATGATATGAAACAACTTTAAAATATCYTTAAAATGTCATTGACGTTGGTTAATTTTGATATAATAAGAAATCTCTCTCTTTCTGGAAAGGAAAATGTTTCTACTAGCTGTTGGCTCTCTTTTCTTTGGTGGCTAGTGGGAGGAACCAGACAATATCTTAGAGGGAAAGGGCRTGGGCACGCCCTATGTGTAATGTTACATGAAGTTCATACCAGCAGTAGAACTGCTCTTCAAATCTTTTAAATTATTTTTAAGATTACATGAACATCATGTCAGGCAAGGTTAATTGTCTCCTTTTCAAATGCATTAACCTTCATGAATTGTTGCATGTATGTTTCTATTAAAAAAGCATAGTATGTGCCACAGTGGCAATCTCCATCTGTATAAATGCTTTAGACCTTTCACCACAAACTGTGTCATTTCTATTCTCACAAACAATTTCGTTTATTTCCATTCAATTATGATCCTGTCCTGATACACTGGGGTGCATTCATATCTTATGAATGGCTTTCCATATCCATTGTGTGTAAAGAATAAAGGGTCTGATGCTGTTCACAAGGGTTTTGATAAATTAATTTTTTTAACTGTGTCCTGAGGGGCCAGCCTGAATGAGCCCTCAGCAGGAGCTGTGGTCCTCTGCAGGGAAGCACTCAGCTTAAGGGGCTGGTTCTCTGCTACTTRCAGTACATTTAATCTTTCTTTTCCCATCGCCACTTGGCAGCGAAGATTTGCACAGGTCTTCTGAAACATGCTTATTTTGTTGCTAGTGTCAGATGTTTTTGGAATATTTAAGAATCCCACCAGGCTGTTGAAATCTTTTATCTTCCCTGAGGACCTTTTCATTACAGGAGTGCTAGTCTTTCTATAACTATAGCGTGGAGGGCAAGATGATTTGGAGGATTAGTAATGGGATATGGATCCCTTCACCTCTAGGTCATGCATTCAYAGGCAAGTTGGCTGTGATTGAAAGACTCTGCAGCCTAATGGCTCCTTGGGGACTCATCTGAAAGTAGCTAATGGATTCAGTACAGSTCTCACTGGAAGGGTGGTCACAGTAGAAATAAACCCTACACCATCCCATGCAGCAGTTGCTGGCRGTCTGATTGGTGGTGTCAGCACAGATGATGTCACCAAAGATGGATGTGAACAGTGAGGCTCTGGACTGAGGTTGTTGCTGGGGCAGCGTGTGATGGTGGGGAAGCCTTGCCTGTCTCTCCCTGAATTGTTTGCTGGTAACATCTCTGTTCCCAGTGTACTGACTGCTTGTGAAGCACTGTGCTTGTGAAGCACTGTGTTTGTGCTGTGTAAGCCATGATTGATGCAGGATTTGATCTACAGCAAACAGATGTGAACAGCAGAGGTGCTRCAATATACTGGCATGTTACTGTCCTCCCTAGTTTTGTGCAGCTTTGTTCCTTGCTCTCATGTCCTTAACTATCTGTGATGAGATTATGTGGCACCTCAAAAGTGGGGCTGACTTCAAAGGAATAATGATACAAGACACAGTTCTTGGCTGTTTGTGTTGCACCTTTGTTGCCAACAGAATGTTTTTTCCTCTGAATTCCCTTAGTCCATGAAGTAGACTGAATCACAGAGTYACAGAATGGYTTGGRTTAGAAGGGACTGTAAAGATCATCTAGTTCAAACCCCCTCACCATGGCARGGARCCTTCCTCTAGACCAGGCTACKCAAAGCCCTGTCGAGGCTGGCCTTGAACACTTCCAKGGATGGGGCATCTACAGCCWCTCTGGGCAGCCCATTCCAGTGCCTCACCAYGCTTACAGCAAAGATTTTCTTCCTCATATTAAACCTAAACCTGCTCTCTTGCAGCCTAAAACCTTTCCCCYTTGTCCCATCAACACCTGCCCTTGTAAAAAGTCYCTCTTCAGCTTTCTTGTGGGTCCYCTCTAGGTACCRGAAGGTRCTGTAGAARGTCTCCCTGGARCCATCTCTTCCCCAGGCTGAACCATCCCAACTCTCTCAGCCTCTCTTCACAGCAGAGGTGTTCCAGTCCTCTGACCATTTTTGTGGCCCTCCTGTGGATCTGGAATCCTGCACCTGTAATAAGGAGGGATGATGTGTTCAGTCAAGGTGGATTACTAGTTGTCAGAATAATGACTGATTTTGGAGACCATATATTAATATTTCAACAGAGGAAGTTATGATGAGAGACTGCCATATAAAGAAAAAATCTCCTAATGAACATTATTAACTTAGGAGCCATGGAGAGAGTTGAGAGCTGTAATAGTTCATATCTTTGGGTTAAAATACTTCACAGCTGTCTCTAAAATRAAAGTCCTGCCTAAGAGTAACTGTCACTTAAACAARCCAAGGCTGTCAGCAATAGCAATAYGCAAAAAAGCACACTGCATTCTCACACTAGCTTTCTCTGATCCTTTATAAATGAGGGCATGAAAAGGAAAAGAACAGATTCTGCTACATTCCTTATTCCTGGTATTTTCTGGTGCCAGCATGCATGTTTTGCTAATGTAAAATGGATCTAACAGTGTTTGTGCACTTCAAAAAATTGCCTTGGGTACTGCTAGTGAGACAGTGGATGGGAGCATTCAGTAATGACAGAACATAAAGTACCTCCTGGGTAAGCAGAAATTAATCATAGGTTAGTTTAGCAGATAATATGCATGTGTATTTTRGTCCATTTTAGCTGAAGTAGTCATCCAGGTATTTGTTTTTGTACTGAACAGTGAACAATGGTAGGAGAGATCCTGTGTCTGCTTTTGTTGCCAATATAGCAAAAGTAGTCAGCAGTTAACTTTGTGTTTGCTCCTGTTCAGCATGCACGAAGTGTGAGTCACTGCAGTACTCTGAGGCATCCAGTGTTTCTCTTCCTGACATTTCTCGTGCCCCTTTTTGCCCTGCATTAGCAAGGGTCATATTTGTGCCCACATGGGCCCACTGCCCTTCCTTTGTGCAGCTGGACTGAAAGTAGAAGTCACTTGCAGCTGGTAGAAGCATTGAAAATACATGAAAACAGAAGATGAGGGATTCCTGTCCTGGGGTGTGTGCTCTCTGWCCCTGCTGCTGCTGATGCCTTTGGCTGGGGGCAGCTGTGCAGCTGCTGCAGAGCTGCCAGGGGGACAGGAGGTACTCATGCAGTCAGTGATCTAGACTGATGTCTAACTGCTCATTTGGCTTTTTAACATTGTTTTAACTGATACCTTTACCAGGGTCCAGAGCATTCATCAGCCAGGCCTGAGAGGTTTCTGCAGATGAGCAATGATGATTCTGATGCCTATCCAGTAAGTAGTTTTGTCAAAATACTTTTTGTCCTTTTCTTTCTCTTCACATTGCAGAGATTTTTTGTTGGAAACATCCTTTTACCTAGGTATAGCAGGTTAAGATTTACATTCTAGTCTTGATGTAACATTAACTTGATCCCCGTAAAAGTAATGGAAGTAGGAGACATTGCTGCTCATTGCAAAACTGAGGTCACATACAATTAATCTCTGGCAGCATGATCTTTTTATGGCTGTTCCTCAGGGCCAGTGATCCTGCTTGTTTATATTGTGTGTGTACTGCAAATAGGTGTCTCTAGCCAATTTCTAAAGGAGGTCAAGTCAGACTACCCTGGCTCTTCGTAGTGCAGCTAAATTGTACTGTTGGGAGCATGAAAATAAGCAACTTCTAATTTTGATTTTGCTAAGATTTTCATACAGTGGTCATTCATTTCTACAGATAAAGTACATAGCTATATAGGATGTTGGGCATCCACTTCCCACTGCAGATTTCCTAAGAAACACTGGCATGCATTAATTGAAAAGCCCACCAATTTAAAAAAACAAACAAAAAACTGAAATAACTGAAAAATGGTTATTTCAGTTTTGGCCCTGACTTTCTTRCCCTTGGGGCAAGGATCATCCCAAAGCAGTGTTCCTCCTCATGTAAAAGTGATTTTTGTTACTGTACTGGCAGAATAAAGACCTGTTTGGTTGACTATAGTTAAGCGTTGTCATTGGCACAGAATGAGGAAGTTACAGGTTTTTTCACAGAAGGTTAGGAGCTCAAGTGACAGAGCAGGAATTGTGTTAAGTGCTGTACCAGTCTGTAATGAGATTATTGTGCCTGTACAGATGCTTACCTAATAAATATATATGTTGCTATGGATAAAAACTCCCTATGTTTGTAAGATACATGAACAGAAAATTTATTAATAAAATAGCATAAGACGGTGGAATACCTATCAAAAAAATGGGAGAGTACACTAACTGTACACTTAGAAATTGAAATATAATTTAACATTATTCAAAGGGGTTCTGTTTGGTCTTCCATCTGCTGAAGTCCTAGTCCTCCTCAGTTTTTCTTCCTGGACTTCCCATCTTATCTGAATTAATGGAAACTTTTTGCATAAGTTTTTAGGAAGAAGTAGAAACAGAAGGGAATGATTTGTAGGGATGCTTCCCTAACTAATAAAACAAGGCAAAGCTGACAGCTGCTAATTAAGTTTTTTGAGGGAGATGCWGAGAGTCAGAAATAGAAGGATGTCTTTCAAGCCTTTTTTTCTGATATTTTAGACATTTTTCTGATGCCTTTAATGTTTCTCTCAGGAGTTCAGTGAGCAGTTTGAAGTTTCCCAGCTGTATGAATGCAACTGGATTGTGGTGAATTGTTCAACTCCAGCCAATTACTTTCATGTCCTCCGAAGGCAGATCTTGCTGCCATTCAGAAAGCCGGTAAGGTTTCTTCAATGGACTTGATTATTCCAGGTAAATTAGCTCTCAAACAGGGAGTTTGCATGACACACTGCTGAAAAGAATAAGGATTGCTGGTGAAAAGCTTAACTGAACACAGGTTGAAGTTGCCAGTTTGATGGAAAGAAGCTCAGCTTTGACTTACTGTGGCTYTAAAACTTGATTTTCAGCTTTGCTTCCATCTGGCTGTGCAGATCTTCAGATGAGCTTGTCAAGATACTAGTGACATGGCTAACAGGTTGCAGCACTATTATCTGCATGCCTAATTGTTGGAACTTCAAAGATCCAAGATAAAACTGTTGAATGTTTTACTGGTTCATAGCCTGTGATTTGATTGTGTTGTCAAAAAGAAGTATAAGTAGTGAGTTTTGAGAACCTTTAAAAGGAGTAGACTGCCCAAATCTTCTGAATAATTTTGAAACTTTAATGGCTTTCAAAACAGGAAAAAATGATTTATTGTATTTGCTATTCATAKTAATTTGAGTATGATATTGTATATTGTATTCAGTTTGTGTTTTTTGTGTGGCGTAGTGTTACAAATGTTGCATGTAATAATGTAGATAAAGCAGCCCCTGAGTGTTGGAAAAATTTTTGTCTTGCAGCTGATTGTTTTGACACCCAAGTCACTGCTGAGGCATCCAGAAGCTAAATCCAGTTTTGATGAAATGGTGACTGGTAGGTCAGCTTAAAGTAYTGTGGAGAAATAATTAGCTATACCAACTTGCATGTCAGGCTGTGAAGAAGAGAATCTGCTCTGCAGAGCTTCTTTTATTTTGGCACAATTTTTGTGGAGCTGTCATAGTGAGATCTAGCATGGACTTTGGCTGAAAAATTTGCTTGCAAGTACAGATTCTTAATTTTAAGGCTTATCTTGTAACCAGCCATTAATCTTAAAGCTGTGGAAAGTGATTCCCATCTCTGCAGGGATGTTCCCCTCAAGAGGCTACTGTGTCCCTCTGCACTGTTTTTCTTCTTATAAAAATTTAGTTGTTCTTTGTACAGCCCATGCCTCCTGATCCCAAGATTGATGGATAGGTTGTAATCACACTGGGCCCGTTTGGAAGAATAAGGTGCCCAGTTCTTGTTACAGTGCTCAGTTTTGGGGCTGCTGTCTCACTGCAGTGATGTAAACTAAGATCAGTGGGTTCAGAGCTGTTGCTGGCAACAAGAGGAAGACTGACTCCAGCTGACCCAATAGAGCACAAATTCAGGTTTTTTTAATGATGAATTCTGCTGTTCAGTGGGACAGGATAATTCTGACATAAATCAGTTCCTCTTTGATGTGTTTGTGCTGTTGCTTTTCTTCCCTAAGATAAATGGTTCTAAGGTCTTATTCTCCTGTAAGTGGGTGTGCTGATTCAGAATAGGAGGTGGTRCTGCTATCTGCCACCCTTCAGTTGTTTAATGTGGAAATAATTCTACTCAGTCATACATGGGAGTAAAGAAAAGGATCCTTTAGACCATCAAGTCCCTCTTCCAGTTTCACGTATCCCAAGCAAATTGTACTCCTGGGAGGTGATAGCACAGGGGAAGAGATAYCTAGCAGTGAGGATATGCATCTGAAATTGTACTTACACATATGATTCAGCTCTATGCTAATTCTTGCTTTGGCTATTGCTGTTTTAGCTCTCAGACAGAGGTTTAAATCAAATATACAGTAGTAATGTGTGTGCTTGGGTAAATATTTGTGAAATTGTCAGATTTAGTTGCATTATTGATACGTTTTGTTTTTATAGAAGAATATTCTAAAACTTTGTAAGGCTGTATCAGTGTTACAGGGTTGAGATCATCGTGGAAAGAAGAAACAGTATTTCAGGTGATTCTCTGAAAAAAATCCCAAACTGGAAGCAAAGTTGAGCTGTCCAAGCCATTCAAAAGTAAAGATGTAATACATGACACAAAGCTAAAAAATAGTCCACTGTTAATGTGGTTCTTTTTATTAAGTCTGGTGAAAGACTGGATTATTGACAGTCTTTGAACTYCTTGAAACTGAACTGCTGAAAGTCACTTTAGCCAAGTTACCAGTGTGGAAAGTGGGACCAGAGAGGCAGGAGAACCCTTTGATCACTGCAACCTGCTGCTTGCTGAGTAAAGGATTGTTCCTTGGGCTTCTTTATTGAAATGTCATGTCCACTGAAAGCATTTTTTCTAATTTGTGCTCCAACTAGGYACTACTTTCCAACGTGTGATTCCTGAGAATGGGCCAGCAGCTCAGGCACCACAGGAGGTCAAGCGAGTGATTTTCTGCACAGGCAAAGTGTACTATGATCTTGTGAAAGAGAGAAGGAACCAAGACCTGGAGAAACAAGTAGCTATAACMAGACTTGAGCAGGTGAGTTCCTTGATCCTCTGAAGAGAGGGTCATTGGGGAAACTTCCAGCAAGGGATTCCATTCCTATGCTTTTAAATAGATAACCCTCCTAGAATGGATGGTGATAGTATTTTTCTTTCACTTAGCACCTTACAAGACAAATTCTAATCCTTCATGGCCTTGTGGAGAAGTAACACATCAATAGTATGCTGGACAATGAGATCCAGAAAGCTTGATGACTTTTCTGGAGCGACATAACAAAGTGAAGATTACAGTATGATGACACCTTAAATTTGTGTATGCAGTCTGCTTGGTTTCAATGCTGGGAACAGTACACTTTGAAGTTACATTGTCATTCACTGATTAAGGACATGCTACAGCTACTTCACTAAAAAAGCTGTAGGAGTGCAGGTGATCTGAACTGTGACCTACTTCTGTTCATACTAATCCAACTATAAAATATTTGTGTATTCATTTCTGAACATTAAATCAATTAGAGAAATATGAGTCACTCTCCATGAAAAAGTCRTGACTCACCATGGGCTAATACCACATAAAAGAAGGCCTTGCCAATTATTACCCTCCTTTTCCAGATTTCACCATTCCCCTTTGACTTGCTAAAAGAAGAACTTGACAAGTATCCCACTGCAGATCTAGTTTGGTGTCAGGAGGAGCACAAAAACAGTGGATATTATGATTATGTCAAACCTCGTTTCCGCACTATTGTGAACCACACTCGACCTATCTGGTATGAGACTTTAAACAGTTCCTCTGTCTCTTGGGCCAATTTTTTTGCTTTTAAATTTGATTGGGGTTGCTTTCAGGTATTCATGGGTAAGTCAGGTTCTTCACAAATTAAAACCTCTGAGTCTGGGTTCTTGGGTGAAGGAGGGAAAAGTCCAGACTACTATTTCTCAAATCCAACATGCATATATTGCTCCTTCTTGTAGATCTGAAAACATTAGCAGCTAGGTCTGTATTTATCACCACTTAGCTCTCTTTTGTCTAAGATTCTGTAATTTTAAGAATTTAATTCCAGATGTTAGGTTTCTGGAGGAAACAGCTGTTGTAAGACCTCAGTCCAGGCACTTTTGCATTTATTTTAGATGATTGACTCTCAGATCTGYCCATACAGCTGTCAAAGGAATGAGAGTCTTCATTGCCAAAAGCAAGTTATCTAATTATGAGAGAGTGTAGCTGGCTGCCCTGGGAAGGATGGGGGAAAAGATGCAGCTTAATAATGATGGGAGRGGGGAGAAAGGGGGAAGCTGACCAGAAGGTATAACTTGGTACAACTTAGATTGATTTTTATTAAAGAAAGATTGATGACAAAATATCCAAATCTGCCAAGCTGACTTGAATGCATTGAACAGCATGTTCTGTGCTTGTTGTTGTTGAAATAGTCTCTTCTCACCTCACTTGTCTGCCCAATTGTTTTTGTCATGAAGGTATGTTGGCCGAGAGCCTGCTGCTGCAGCTGCCACAGGCAACAAGAACATGCATCTGGTGTCGCTCAGAAGGTTCTTGGATACAGCTTTCAACCTGGAGGCCTTTGAGGGAAAGACATTCTAACTGCAGGGCACTGACCTGKATCTGACTGATAGTCTCTCGAAACACTGCTTTCAAAAGGAAAGTGGGGAGAATACTGAAAATTGTGTATTTTTGCTTTACCAAACAAAAGGATCCAGCAGCTGACTTCATTACTCTGTACCTTGCTCCCCAGTTTATAAAGAAAAAACAATTCCAACTTASCTTCTACAATTTTTTGTCAGTTATCTATTCTAATTAGGACCTCTTTGACACAAGAAGCTTCTCCTATCCCAGGATGCAATGTCTGGCTTGGTGAGGCTTATATCTCAGTCTGTGGACACTGTCTAATTACTGTAAGTAGAGCAGGCATGGACAGCRTGATAGTTATGTACACAAGAACCATTACAAGGAAAATAAATTACTTATTTCTGTTTGTGTATCAGAGGACTGAAATTGAAAAACAGAGTTTGTAGATGACTTTGGTAGAGAAATGTACGAGCTGGAAGGAGATGGTGAGATTCTCTGCTTTGTCCAGTGCTATTCCCTACCTCATATCTCCTTGCTGATAGTAATTAAACTSTGGAGTGGTTATTGCTGATTTACTCACCCTTTTTATAGAGGAAGGTGGGCAAGCAACAGCTGCTGATTTACCAAAGGCATGTGCTGTGGTTTTGCACAAGTATTAATGGATTTTTTTGGCAGCACTGTTTATGTTTATTTGTCAATTAGGRTATCAATTGCCATGTATTGGGATGGTATGGACATAAAAGTGAACCACCTCAAGAGCTGCTCTGTATCAGGGGGTGATGTACAGCCAGTGCTGGAGGGGAGGGAGCAGCACGGGCTGTTTCTCTTCCCAGGAGGTGCTTTGCTTCCTGGGAGGCAGGGTGGTCCAAGAACCATTGCTTGAGCTTCCTCCACAGTGCTGGAAGACAGGTGAGCCCTGCTTTCCTCTCCCCCCTTGACTTAAGAAACAGTATTGTCAGAAGTCATGTTCCCTCTGCCTGGAGGGTTTGGCTGGGTGTGCTGAGCAGCCCCATGGAGACAGCATAACAAGTGACTGGAAAATACGAAGATGAGACTTCCTTGTCCTGAGCATGCTCCTTGGACATGCTTTTGCTCTGGGAGCACATTTGTCCTGCTGCTCTATGGACTGTGACATAACAAAGCATGGCAGTTTATGTCTGATTCAAAGAGTTGGGTGATGCTGGAAAGCTTCTTGTCTCATAAAAATAAAAAGCTCTATTAAAAACATTTAGCTATGATCAGGTATTACGTACCCAGGCAGGTTACCAAAAAGGCCTGTGTGCCTTATGCTGCCCTTTTATTTGGTTTGGATACACCATGATGGTGAAAAAACATCCTTCTGTCAGAGCACAGAATTGATGCAGTAAGGTACAACCATGGCATCCAGAACTGAACTTAGTCTAATGCGTGAGAAACTCTGTAGCTTTCGTTTAAATCAGGCTGGTTGCCCTGGGCTTTTTCTCTCACTGAAGCATTTAAGCTAATTTAGTGTTTTGAAACCTAATGAACTTGCCAAGTACTGCAGTTGACAGCCACAAATGTTGTCTCCTATCCCTTTCTATAGTTCAAAACATTAAGCTGATAGACAGTAACCATCACCCAAAGTATTTTAATGCTTTTATGAATGCTTGTTTCTGTAGCAAGAATTGAGTGCAGCTAAATATTACTGTCTCTATTGTATTCTCAGTTTGCATAAGGCTGTCAGTGCTGCATGAAATATGATAAATGCACTTATGCCACAGTAAATGCAGAGGTAAAAAACAAAATTAACATAGAAATATACATGGTAAATGACAGATTTCCACTCTCATTGTGTATYATAAATTGTGGCATAATAGTTGCATAAAAATTCCATCAAAGATGTAAAAAAACCCCAATAAAATAAAAGTACATAAGAAGAAAATTCTCCGTTATGGCTGCTCTGTTTGACAGTTTCTCCGTTGAGTCAGGACATTAACATCCCACTTGCAAGAGTGCTAAGGCAGCTCATTTTTCTGTTTTCTGTTTGTTTCCTCAGTGGTGGCTTATTTAAATATAGAAGCAGTGAGGGACACAGCATCTGAACTAGAAAAAGATAATTATTCAAAACCATTGAGTTAAAATTGGCARTAACACTGAGGTTACATTAGAACATTTTGTTTTATTTCTAATTTTTTTTAAGTAACAGGTGAATGCATTTTTATTTCAATGAGARTTTTTAAAATACTAGAACTAGCCTGGAATTGTCATCTGTAATTTCTAAACRTTGTAACTCATTTCTCTAAACATGTTGTGTCCTCAGCTTTGACATGGTAAATGATTAAAAGATTAATCCCTGTAGAATGTTTGAGAAGTATTATATAGACCTCTTCTGAAAAAAAAGTCAGCACTGAAATTCAAATGACAGCTTTGCAACTTGGAAGAAACAGCAAACGTGAGAGAGAGTTGATTTCATCGTTCTTGGGGACACACGATGCTGTGCATGCCCACAGCAGCAAGACTTGCTAAGACAATCAGGATCTGTGACAGAATTGTTCTTCACTCCTGATGAGCTGCACTGACAGCAGGGGTGTGCTTGGTGGAAACCATTGCTCTACCCATGTACAAGTCGGGGGCTGTGCTAGAGCAGAGGAGTAACCTGTTCTCCAGAAAAGAAACCATTCWGCTTGTTCCAGGAGGTAAAAATTAMMGCATGAGTSTAGACAAAAGCCAGGAACATGTGTGCATTGTTTGAGCCGAGCAGATGAAAGTGTGTGCCTTGGGGGGTGTTGTCTGTTTCGTTTCTTTGCTTTGTTTTAAGTATCCCTTGCTGGACTCTGGCTGCTGTTCCAGGAGCTCTGGGTAGCTCTTACCTGGGTGCACAGCCAGCAGATGCTCTCCCTCTGATCCAGGGCTGGGAATACCCACTGCTGCTAATAATAACAAAAAAATGAAACCTTGAGAACCTCCGTGCTTTCACACATGCACATCTAGAAATACATCTCTATATGTATATATCCTTTTAATTAATGTTGACACAGATTACTTCAAATATTGTTAAAAACATGAAATAGAGGCATTCTCAATAATCGCATAAAGCCAGAACAGCTCTAAAAGCAGATAGAATACCTTTGTAAAGTTAACAAGTCTGGTCAAAGATGCAAGARAAAAGTCCACTGTTGTCTTTTCTAGTTCTATTCAGTGAATTCAGCATGTTTTGGATTTTCAGGTGATCCTCAGGCTGGTGCTGGGCTCTGGGGCACCATAAGGGATGTCAGGGCCCCTGCCAGCCTAACGAGCACAGGTGGGGCTAGTTCATTATGGCTGATGGGAAGCACCTGTGTGCTGTGGGGTTAAAGCCCAGCTCTTGGCCCAGCTGGCCCATCTCTCTTTAATTTGCTGTCCTGCCCTCAACATTTCCAGCACTTCACCCTGTTTTCCCTGAATGGAGGGCTGTGCTCTGTGAGGGTATCGCTGCCATTTCTTCAGCAGGAAGAAGTTTTGGTGTTTAAGTGTGGGAAACAAGGCCCAGGATGGCTGCTGGGAAAGGCTCAGAAAGGAAAACAGGCCTCAGGCTCCCAGATACTTGTGTTTTCTACAGGCAGGTAAGAGACTGGGAATGGGTAAGGATGTCTTGTCCTGACCCTGGGATGAAGGGAACCTCATTCTTTGAATTATTGCCAGAGGTGCTGAGAACTAAGGAAGAGTGTGGCTGTGGATTTCTGAGGCAAGCCAGTGGTGAAAGCTGCTTGGGTTGTAAAATACTACCACTTGCAGTGAGAGTGCAGTGAGGCTGGTTTGGAAAAAGGAGACTGTTGAGTGGAGTGTGGTAAAGAAATGCATTTTGCTCTGTTTGCAAAAAAAAAAAAACAAACAAAAAACCAACGAAACAAACACTTAAAAAATTAATTCTCCCTTCCTGGGAAGAGGTGTAGAATGACCCGGCCTTTTCCAAGCTGTGCTCATCATCCCCAGGTGAGACCTGCACTGAACCTCCACTTCTCCCTCTTTCCATGTCCTGYAGACAACATTGCAGGTCTTGGAGCTTTGGTCAGTTCCTGTCATACAGCCTTTCTGTGCTGATGAAAACACACCATTTTAGACACCAAAAAAGTCTTTGCAGATGTGGGTAATTTTGCRTGTATCTTTCTGCTTTTGTTCTGGAGTAATAAGGGTTACTAAGTAGAATAACTACAATACAAAACTTTGAATGGTAGAAGGCAGTCAAGATTCCTATTAGCTCTGATAAAAAAGTTTTGTGGGGTTTTTTTTTTGTTCCTTTTGTCTGCTTATTAGTTCTGCTAAGTCCTATTATGTAGCAACAGGATTCTTGATTTCCTGGACTCTACTGATTAAAAAGATAATTGAAAGGTTTTTTTTGTCTTTATGCTGAACAAGGACAGAGATTAAGTGGGTACATTTTCTTAATCATTGGTGTAAGATATCAGGGAACAGCATGAAGTCTAAAATAGAAATTCAACATACTTGTAAGAAAGAAACAGATGAATATTTTTCTTTTCTAATTATTTTAATATTATTTAATAATTTTCTATTTCTTTTTAWTATTGAAACCACTTCTGGTTTTAGATACCTCTTAACTGTTACTTCAGGTTTTTTAATGCCATTATTTAAAATGTAGCCTATTATCCAAAAGGAATAAAAGAACAAAAGGAGTAATTATTCAGGAAAAATAATATTTTAGAGAATTATTAGCTTTGATTGAAAATGTTTCTCAGATTTCCTCAAAGTTTTCAATTATTAATAAGTGCACTGGGCAGTTCCTTTGTGATATTTAAGTGATTCRGTCATTAATGGCAAATGGAATCTAATTTGTTTAGAGGGGAAAACAGTTGTGGTTATCACTAAAGATGCTGTGTGAAACCCTAAGATATAATTTCAGAAATCCCTAGTTTCAGTTCAATAGCCTGTAAATTCACTGATGCTCTTATAAAAGAGCACATAGACACTTTCTGCCCATGTCATGCACAGCCAATCTTAAATTCTCCTCCCCTTCAGGAGAGGCTGCATTTAGCTTTCCAMAAGAGGAGGTCTGTGTGAGAACTCAGCTTGGCTCTCCATTATTATCTCACTCTGCTCAGAGGGGTGTTAGATTATCCCTGTAATGGGTTTTAGTTCTGGTTTAAGTGACTGCATTGCACTTGGAATTGTACCTGCAGTGGAGTGACAGCTGTCTGTACACAGACTGGTTTGAAGGGCAGTGAATTGCCCATGGACCTGTGAATACTACCTGATGGAAAAAGTGCAGATCAGTGCTAGAAAGTGCCTGAAAACATAGCCCTGATCCCTGTGTCTGGGRCTTGGCTGTGCTGTAGAGGAGACCTGGCTCTTCTTGCTGCTGTCCCAAGGTGATCCTGCCCAGGCTGTGGGGTTAACTCTGCAGTGTTTTGCTGGGGTTCCCAGTAAAGCTCCCCTATCTGGAGCGAGTCAGTTCCACAGAAGRGGCTGGAAAATAAATGTGAGCAGCCCCTGTGTGCTGGCCAGGACTTTGCAAGGGTAAAGTTAATTAGTAAAAGCCAAAAGACATATGAACAGTATGTTTCATACATATTGGAGGAAAGATTTTRTTTCCCAAATGAGTGTACCCACTGCTGGGAGTAAAATAAAGAGGATAAAATAAAATTGTCTAATACAGAACATGACAAAATGACCGTACATAATTTCCTGTGACTAGAAATAAATGTTTAACAAACTGCTCCCRGTAGGCTTGTTAAAAATGAAATATTTATTACTATATGTTAATTACAGGGTTTAAGCAGTACTTAAGTAATTTAAGGGGATTGGCTTCATGTTACTTTCAATATTCTTATGTGATTAAATCCTCCTTCATCAGTTGTTCTTTGTGCTACAGCATTTTGCCCAAACATATCCTTAATCTGTGTTTGCAATGCTGGTTATATTGTATAGGATGATAGTGGACAGTTKTCTTCATGAGTTTCATGGCCCAAGMAAAATTAAATTCCATCAACATTAATGTTTGTGGGTGTGGATTGACACACAACAACTTGTCAAGTCTAGAAAAATCTTATYAATATGGTAGATTTATATGTTACTCTCTGACACTACAAATCAGTTTTGAAGAAGTCCTTATATGCTTTCTTAGGCTGCAGTATGAGAGGGACAAATGTATACTTAGCATTTAAGTTTTCCTCTTTGTCCTGAACACCATAAGGTGTCTGTAAATATTTGCCCTTTAGCATCTTAAAATAATGTTTTGTGCTAGCATATTTTATACAAAATTACATTGAGTAAAATTTTTGGCTTATTCTGACTTCAAACTGGTGTTGAGAAAACTGTCATCTTAGAGTTGACGAAGAACTGAAGCTCTGTGTTGCTTAGGGACTCTTCATTACAACGACCTACTGCCTRTTCAGAAGGAAAGATAAACAGAAATAAAGCAACTTAATCTCCAGTGATTCTAAACGGTTCCTAGTTACACTCTTAGATAATTAACTTCTCCTGTGATGTGYTCATTTAATAGATACCTGGTCATATGTGACCATGTTTATTTAATGTGCTCTGCAATATTTATACCACAATACACCCTTCTCATTATAAGCCAGACAGTCTTTAATTTATTTACACACACATATTCTGAAGCTTTTGCTCAGACAAAACTCTACAGGCTTCAGGAAAATATATCTGAGTGTGCACGTCAGTTTATGACTGCTCATAAATAGCTTCTGAAGGGACTGCTAGGAAAAAAAAACCCTAGTATTTTTCCTTCTTTTCAGCATTACTGTTATGATATTATGTGCATTAAAAAATTAGGGACATGCCACATGAAGTRTGATTATTTTTGTTTCTTCTGTTTTTTATTTCGTTAGGCCTTTATCACAGCCCGAGATCCCTCATAAGACTCATCAGTAAAATCATATTTGTCATTGTGAGCACAATATTGCRCAGCTCATGAGCTCCATAGGTTTTTTGCAGAATTCAGCTTTGTGGTACCTGTCTCTGTAACAAAGCCCAGAGGGAAGGGGAACTCTGTACCCACATTCTGTTCCCAGAATTAATTCCAAAACCTGTGACAAAGACCGCTTGTTAGTGATGTTTCTGGCTACTTCACATGACCTCAGTGGGTGCATTCCTGGGTGTCCATGTACATACACACCTATATGTGAACAAATATTTTATGTCTGAAAAGTGCCTGTGTGTTGGTACAGAACAGCCCTGTCTTTCCTTAAAACTGCCTGACAAAACTGATCAAAACTGATAGCTGTACCAAGCAAAYGGCCACATTTCAAATCAATTTAAAATTAATTTTAAATTAGTGATGCATCTTGTCTTTCACTGGAATGAGCCTATACTGAG